TTATATAATATAAATAGCTACTTTGATGACATATCTTGGAATTTCTGCTTTTCTGGTTATGGGATGTAGTTCTGAGTTTTTGACTCAGTCTCTCACCTTTAGTCCTGGGAAGTGATTCCACACATCCCTTTTCTTGTGTCCTTTGGACAGAATAAATCAAAGGAGAATCAAGGGAAAGAAATAGACCGGTGCACAGGAGCAAAGGGGTGTGTGGAAATCATTTCCCATTGATTTTACAGACTTACTGTGTTTCATGTTTGGTCTTTTACTTCTTTCCGAGTTGAGGTCCATCTCCATGTTGATCAGGTGTGGTACAAGCTTTTGTATCATAGTTCTTTTTATCAAATAAAAATAAGTTTGAGCGGGTACTTGCAGATGTATGCTGCTCTTTCTGATACGTCATAAATTGGGGGTAAGGCTAGCCGACATTCACCTCTCCCAGACCCTGCGTAAAGCGGGAGCCTTGTGCACTGGGTACGACCACGATGTGTATAAAGCCTACGATCATCCCCAACTTGTTCCTTGCCATCAATTCCTAACCTTTCACATCTTTAAGTCCCTAGAATAGTTTTTCCTAGAATATTAATGTTCTCTCTAGTTTTAACCTTGTTTGGTAAATTTTGTCCTCGAGAAGTTTTTCGAACAAAACCAAGTGAAGTGATTATTGTTGTAGTCTTATGTAGACAGTTGTAGTTTTGATGTTCTACGTTATCTATTTTATTTTCGTATGTTTATTTTACTATTAATGCATTAAGCACAGGCACGCAATATTTCAAGCTGCTCAAGCGATAACGCCCAACATCATTATGTACTTACCGCGGAATGTAGACTTACACCAAGTGGAAGAACTCTGCTGGTTGTCTTCTCCTCCTCTAGACGTTGAGGTATGGTCCGATACATACAGAGTAATGTGTTATGCACGGAAAATGTCAATCGTATCATGTTTTTTAGTTTTGTTTTGTGATATTAATCTGAATTTCGGACACTATGCGTACGCCCGTGATTGATATTAAATATGCAGATTGAAGAAAATTATGTGCAGAGCTCTCTAAAGGCTATAACAGTCTACTTCAGTGGTGCATCATCCACTCAATGTATATGAAGATGTTAATCGCTTGCTGAATTAGCCGCTTTTCCAGTTTGTTGCTTCCCGATTATAAGTTTTCGTTGACCACGGCCTACAGGAACCAATTTGTCTACAAGTGAGATTAGGGTTGTTTTGTTAGACACAAACATACATACGGAGAAGGTTCAGTTAACTTCCTCAAAATGCTCGATCGTTGGTTTTCATGTACCAATTTCCTTGCAAGATTACATGGTCTGTTGATGTAGACCAATCCTTTTCAAGAAATGTACAGTTGCCGTAAACCGGCATCTCTTCAGAACGATAAAAAAAAAAAAAAAAAAACCGAACGTTTCCAATGGTGTCGATGAAGACAACCAAAAATATGTACCCTACTCTCGTTTATCTGAATGGAACCAAAAACTTGAAAAAAGGCCTTCTCCATTCTCCATGGAGCTCAAGGTCTCTGAGGTATCCACGTCAACCTGGAACGGCCAAATATAAGATCAAAAGAGTGACAGATTTTAGGTAACGCTGCACAGATTAATCGTCAGGTGATTTAAGTCCAGTAATTTTTCTACGATGCAACGGAACACACACCGGAAAACGAACCAGTTTTGGACTCAGATAATAACTACTACATAAAAAATGATTTCCGCACACCTACTCGCTTGTGTCATGTTTAATTTTGGCATTTGGATTGAATAAATAAATGGAGAATCATTTGATAAAAATGAACAAGGACATGCAATGTCCCAAAAGTAATGTGAGATGAGCCCTTCGGACCAGCGCCAGGATCGTCTCGTTAATTTCCTTCTGCTCAGGTGTGGTGGGAGGTGGAATCTTTAATCTGATTAAAACAAGTTCTGGACAACACTTTCAGAAGTATGATCTTTCCTCCCCATCCAGTTCCTTGACATCAATCTTTTACCTTTTACGCCTCTCAGTCCCTAAAATGGTTGATGCCAGACATTCCGAACCAAAAGCGAAATCTCCAGCAGCAACCGTATCCAGTCCTAATGCGCTGCAACCGTAACTGTTCTTAGTGTCCCGACTCCTACAACTGTGCATAGCCTGAAGTATTTCTCCCCCATCTCTTCATACACAAATCCATACTTAAAGCAACGACAATGAGCCAGGATGCGTTTCTTCAAGTGTCACGTCAAATGAACTCAAGTACCCTGAGATGGTTCCCATGCGACTACAGTTTCTTCATGAAATCTTCAATGGTATCAGCAGCGGCAAACATATTCTTCAGCTTCACTTCATCCCAGAGAAAACGACATGTCTTGTACCTAGGCTTTATCTCTTGACCAATCATCTCCTTGAAGAGAAGGTAAGCCCACTCGCATCTATTTGCTCTGCATAGTCCGTGAATCAAAAGAGTATAGCTGGAGAGGTCGAGACTGAGATGATGTCTATTGACCATGTCATTCAATAATTGAGTCAAACAATCGTCTACTTTTCCAGTTTTGAAGCACATTTTAAGCAATGGATAGTACGTCTGAACATCAGGTTTGCATAACCCTGCATTTTCCATCTGCAGGAGGACATTAAAGGCCTTTTGCTCTTCCCCGTGGTGGCAAAACATGGCAATCATTGTATTGTAAGTTGATGTATTAGGAGGAACCCCCTTCTCAGGCATTTCAACGTCGAAGACATGGACAGCCTCTCGGACTCGGCCAGCTCTTCCTAGTGTGTGGATCAGTGAATTGTAGAAAAGTGTATCGGGATCACATCCAGCAGATTTCATTCTCTCATATAACTGCAAAGCTTCCTCAAACTCCTCGGACTTTGCTAGAAAACACATGACAGAGGTATATGTGACGACATTTGGGGAGCACCCCTGAGCTTCCATTTCATCAAACAATTCATAGACCTTACCAAAATTGTATTGGTGGCAATAAAACAGGATGATGGTCGAGTAACTGATGACACAAGGGCGATAGCCATGTCCCTTCATCTCTTGGATTGTCCAATGTGCCTCGTCAACCCGTTTGATCTTGCACCAACCGTGAATGAAAATGTTAAAGGTATGAGCATTGGACGAGATATGTGATTTCAGCTCTAAGAAGATCTCACGGGCCTTCTCAACTTTGTTCTCCTTGCAAAGGGTGTCAAGCAATAAGTTCATAGATTCTGTGTTCTTCTCCAACCCAAAACTTCCTAAATCATCAAATATCCTCACAGAGTCCTCCCATTTCCCTGCACCAGCAAACCTTCTCATAACCTTACCTACGGTGTTAAGAGTCACCAGATGATCCTGGCGCATTTTTTCTAACAAACCCGTTATCTTATCCAATTGCTTCATTTTACCCAAAATGTCAACTATCAAATCATATGCATCTGGGTGGGTTTATAGTCGGAGCATAACTCTACCCATCTAAATACACCCAATGCAGACTTCCAATCATTCTTAAACCGATGAAACAGTTGATCAACAAGTTTATCCGTGAGCTGAATGCTATTACATGCTTGATCTTGTGCAAGAGACCGTAGAACTTCATCATCACTGCTTCCAACAGATACTTTAGATATGATGATGTCAAGGTCAGATAGTCTTGTAGAGTCTTCAAAACTGTGACGATCCCAGCGGAGAAGAAAAAATTGAAGAAAGAGCAGATGAGCAATTTTCAGGAGAGGTATGGAAAAAGGAGCAAGGTTTTGAAGTATTGCGTCGGAAGCGAAGGCTTTTAAAGCATTTCTGAATATGGAAGACCATGAAGATGTCCACAGGAAATGAAAAGATTATGTCTTTTAGCTCCTGCAACAAGCTTACTTTAGTATATATTTCCAATAGAAAATTGGGGAAGAAAATAGAAATGTGAACTAGCATTTTACATTGAAAAGATAATTGATGACCATAGAAACTAAATTAGTATATGAATGGACGTGCTTTAACATTGTTGACAAAAACATAAATTAAAATTAACGTATTTTCTTGTGAAGTATATGAAACTAAATGAACTTCCAAGAACAGGACAGAAACAAACACATGATTGTTCCATAATGGAACAAGGACTTAATTTTACAACTTTTAGCATGTTTATAAAGAGAGGCATAATTTTTTTTTAATAAAAAACAAATATTTAAAACAGATCAAAGAAAATACAAAACAGAATGGACAAGAAGGCCATAAAGAATCAAATCACAGATATTGACTTTGCCATGGACAACCAGCCAAGCAACAGGACTTTGGTAGGCACCCCAACTTCCAAATAAACTTAAAAGAAGTGAAGTGAGGACGGTTCGGGTTATCTAATGAAGACATCAAAAAGCACTTACAGGAGAAGACTCCAGATCCCTGAAATTATAAACTACTCCTGTCAGCACAGGAAGGAAGCAAAGTACAGTTACTAATACTCATCCAACTTCCTAACACTAGATTTCTCCTAAAACTGTAATTCAAATAAACCACATGGGAGGAAGAAAGATAAGCCAAGAACTCAATGGTGGAATCACAGTTCAAGTAGGATCTGCACAGGTTTGGAAACAGTGTCTGGAACGATGAGGCACCACAAGTTTAATAGAGAAGAAAATATAGGGTACCCTGAGAAATGTCTTCCAAGGACACCAAATTGAACCATTTTCCCCTACACGGAGTCCCCTCCATAGGACTGCTGACACACCGAGTCTTTCCCACCACAACCAGTCAACGACAGGGCAACATTTCTCTGCCTCAAATGACCATTAGCTAAACCACTTTTCTTTTGGTCTTCATACTAGGTCCCAACAAATTAAGGGGTCCTTGATAATCTTACCCTCCTACCTACCTTACTGAAAAAAATTTCTCATTAATTTCTCAATCATCCTAGAGACTTTGAACTGGTAATCCAAAAACCGGGACAAGCAGGGAGTCTGCTCAAGACTGACTGGATCAAAGGGAGTCTCTGCTCACCGGCTCTGAAGCCGGTTCCCAGAAGCTGAGGGCATATGGATTTCCACCAAATAGTTCAATTACCCAATTCACACAAAAGGCAACGGACTGCAACAGCCCATCATCAAATATCATATTTCAGCATCAACAGTAGTTACAACACCAGCTAAAGCTAAAACATGAACCTCCAGAAATTAAAAACGAAAATAAAAAGGCATTCCTCAATTATATTCCAGTTTTATATTAAATTCGGCTAAAAAGTAGAGTTTAACGCGTTGCTAAATTCATCCCTAATGAAAATTTACAGGCAGAGAGGATGAAAGGAAAAATATTGAGCAAAAGGGGAGAGAGCGCTGACCTCGATGGAGGTGAGCGCAGATATCAGAGAGGCGCACTGCAATACCTGCTGCAAGTGAAGTGGATGAGGCCGACACAAATGGATGGTTTTCAAGCTAAAACCCTCTTCTTCTGGCTTCTGCTTCTGGAGAGAGTGAGATAGCAAATTATAAAAACAGACGGTTCTTTTCATTTTTATTTTATTTCGCATTTATTTATATATTTATTCATTTCTACATTTTTAAGGAAAATACTTGCCTCCTATTATGGGACTGTGCACTATTATTTGCAAATAACGAATTTTATCGTATAAATTTTATAATTAAATGGTTTAATTTCTTAATAATTTTCAATTTGAATAATTTTTTTTATATAAATTACTCTTATTTAAATGAGGATTGAGAAAATAATTTATTTTAATTATGAAATTTACAGGATAAAATATACTTTTTTGTTTTGTTTTGCAAGTGGTAGGATGTGTGCATTTCTTACATAGAGAAAAGCAAGGATTATCCTTTTTATAATTGCACCAATTGGCATCACTAGCATCTACAACAATACTAACTAAATTTTTGTTATGGTAGCTTGACAAATGTCTCAAATGTTATTTTGGCTAGCCACTATGTGGTATCTCAATTCAATAATCCATTAGCATATATATAAAAAAATGCATATAACAATGTATTGTTAAACAATGAACGTCACATGGAAGAAGCAAGCATCAAGACATTAAAATGAATGCCCAAACGGTAGGATCTGTTGGAGTATACAATCCAACATGACCATGGTGAAATAGTTCGCCAGCTGCTGCTGCTAGAGTGCGGCACCATTCAAACATTACATCCCAGGATTCAAAGATTGAGATCGCGTATCACATTAGTAGACTCGACCACCTGACATCCGTTACAGAGTAAACTACCGTTCGAGACCCTTGGATGCCGAACGAACTTAGAAAGGATACCCTTGGATGTGAACGAACTTAGAAGGGATATAATGAAATTATTTGCTTGGTTCTTCCCGTTCCTATAAGTACTTCTCCTATAATGCACCATTATTGCCATGCGATCCTACTTCATGATAATCTATTGCCCCTTGTTCACTTGTAGTGAGTGACATGACTATGCATTCAGGAGCGGATCACTGTTAAGGCCTGCAGTGGCCATGGCCCCCCGTGATTCATGAAAACTCAAATATTTGATCATGTTTGTAGATGTTAGAAAATGATCAACAATATAGAAATAAATTCGAACATGCTAATAAATAATAAATACAACTCAATACATTGACATATTATGAATAAATGAAATTAATATCAAACAAGTAAAAACAGTAATTGAGGCTTGCATACCGCAATGTCCTTGAAACAAAATTTCGTCCCTACTTAGTGATTGTAGTTTGATTGACGTCTGCTTCACCATGATTCAACAATCAAACCAAGAATCCAGCATAAGAAAACTTGGTTTTTAGTGAATATCTTTGTGGTTCTCTCATAAAGAAGGTTTTAATACTTAAGAAGAATAATTCGTTTTTATGTTCCTTTGCGAATATGTTATCAGGTCTCATACAGTTTCCAGTTGGTTTTCCAGTTCCACCGACCTGCACTAGGATCATTCTCCTGGTTTATTGGCCAGCTTGTGGTCTACTGGGAATAATACAATGCACCTGAAAGTTGGAAGTTGGAATCCTATCTGTAATATTTTTATAGGAAACTTCATTCTAATCCTTTGCAAAAATGACTTTTAGACTAAAACCATGAGTAAGATGAAAATCTAATTTTTGTCCCTTGATATAATCATCACCTCATTTATTAGTTATATTATGATATTTTAATTATTTCTCTTTTTCTTCCTAATTTTAATGTATTTAATTATATTTCATTATAATTATAATTTTTATTTCATTCATCATAATATATTTTGTTGTAAACATTTAGATAAACTAATTTTTGTTATTTACTATATTTTAATATATTTTGTCATTTTCATTTAGGTACATTAATTCGTTTAATATATTTTAGTATATCCAGTTTGGTATACATATTTAGGTACATTAATTTAATATAATATGTTTCGGTGCATATATTTTTGTACTAATATTTAGTAATATTAGTTCAATATAATATATTTGGTACTAACATTTAAGTACATTATTTGAGTATTTCAAATATGAAGAATGTTAAATAAAATTAATAAATTAAAAAAAACAATTTGGTAAAAAAAAAAAAAACGTGTAGATTAATAAATTCAAATATTTAATGGAAGACATTGAATAAAATTGTAACATCCCACATCGACTAATGGAGAGGGGTTGATGTGCCTTATATGTACATGCCCACCTCCTATAGCACGATGCCTTTTGGGAACTCACTGGCTTCGGATTCCATCGAAATTCTGAAGTTAAGCGAGTTCAGGGGAGAGCATTCCCAAGATGGGTGACTCACTGAGAAGTTCTTGTGTGAGTTCCTATAAACAAAATAGTGAGGGCGTGGCCGGGGCCTAAAGCGGACAATATCGTCCTATGGTGGAGCCGGTCTGGAATGTGACCGAATGTTATCAGAGTCACTCTGTCGTGTGGTGTGAGTGTGCAGATAAGGACGTCGGCCCCTAAAGGGGTGGATTGTAACATCCCATATCGACCAACAGAGAGAGGGTGATGTGCCTTATATGTACATGCCCACCTCCTATAGCACGAGGCTTTTTGGAAATTTACTGGCTTTGAATTCCATCGGAACTCCGAAGTTAAGCAAGTTCGGGTGAGAGCATTCCCAGGATGGGTGACCCACTGGGAAGTACTCATGTGAGTTCCCATAAACAAAACCATGAGGACGTGACTGAGTCCCAAAACGGACAATATCGTGCTACGGCGGAGCCGGTCTAAGATGCGACAAAAATACTCATTAATTACTTTGAATTAAAGAAAATTATAATCAATATGTAATTTAACACTAAATTTTTTATTATATTTCAGTTTTTTTTCAAGAATAAAAGTTAAAAAACCTCATATTTTTAAGGTAAAGAAAATGCATTTCCCAAATTTGATGACAACATCCGATTCTAATTTCAAAACCCTAATACCAGCAGCAACAGCCCCTGGATTTGAAATGCGCCCATCGTTTTACAGCCCTCCTCTCCACCTATAAAACTGACCACATTGAGACCCTCATTACTCATTACTCATTACTCATTAGGTTTTAGGGTTCCAGAGAGATGAAAGTTTGTGAGGGGTCTGAAAGCCAAGATGAAGAGGATGGCGGTGCTGGTAGGGTTCTAACATATCGCATCCATGATTTACCAGATCAGGTATATTTCTTTCAATCGAATCCATGACTTTATTAAAATTTGATCTTCATCTTAATTTTTCGACAAACCTGTGATAAATTAGCTAATTACCCTTTGAGAGTATATGATACATATATATTAATTAAGACCTTGATCAGTTCCATACGTTAATTTCATCTACATGATTTTATGTTTTTGCAATTGCAGATGAAAACCTCATAGGGCATGGCCTGGTCCTGATCAACAAACACCTTGGGATCTCAGTGGAACCCCTGGACCATCCTTTGGGAATCGGGTCGTCCCAAATTCTCTTCTGATGTATGGGAGAATGGCAACAGTAACGAGAGGCTCGTAGAGTGCAGAGCCCTTCAAGACTGAAGTGCAAGCGCATGCTCAATGGCAGAATGCGACTGAAGCTGACTCTTCTGACCCAATCATCCGATAACAACAACAAGGCATTCAAGAGACAATCTCAGTTGAAGAAGATTAGAAGCAAACATCTCAATAGGAGGAGGGCATTGTATATATATAGTTGTAAACATTTTTTATTTGTCGTTATAGGCTATAGTTTAGTTAGGACGATTAGTTGTGCTTGAGCTGTAATTGTGTGATTGTAAACCTAATAATGGATCACTGGAAGGAAATTTTTGTTCATACACATTGTTCTCTTTTTTGTTCGAAAAGTGAAACAATTAAGTGCCTCTCGTAAGATCTGTCTATACCATTTCAAATGCTCGCAGAATAGACGGACTAGGAACAAACTTGACGAGTGAAGATCCCTTTGAACTTTGAACAAATTTCTGTTGTGGACTTAACGTTAACAGACAGAGCAAAGCCTTCTTCATTGTAAGTAAGATGTCGCGCGCCCATTTGAATTGTGACTGTTACCAGCTTTGGTTATTCTCTTAATCTGAACCAAGTTGTTGGTCCACTCGGCTCTCAATTCATTTGCAAATTCTACGTTATTTGGAAGCTTAAAGTGGAAAAAAAAATGTATGTGAGACAAATTTAAGCTTTATGTGTATTTGGCCCATATTACCCTCCCTTCATCTAAGACTAATAAATCTATGCCCCTGCCTTTCTAAGATTTGACTTGTAAATGGTTTTCTTATTTTTATTTCATGATATGTCTCTATTGTTGGGTGTTTCATTGTTGGTTCGGTTTCCTACAATACATGCATGGCAATAGGGTTGCGTGCTGTAATGAAAATACCTTTTTTGTTGTAGCGTTTTAGTATACCTCCCACGTGAACAATTCAGTTATATTCATTAATTGGATGTATTTCCTTTTGCAACAAGGGTTTGGGTTATTGATCATATGAGTTACATATATATATGAATGTGCTTCACATAGTATGTGTAGTTGTATTACTAGCCAGATGAACCATCTTGTATTTCACCTTAAGCAATGGTAATTCACTACTGATCTCATGTTGATATTTATGCAAGTAAGTTGGAGACGTTTCTCGTTTCGATTAGTAGTGTAATAGCGATTAATTAGGTGCATTTTGTTAAGCAATTGTTTTCATTGTATTTCTAGAAGTGATATATGATAATAGTTGTGGCACAAAATTCTTTTTGGAAGTTTATACCATACGTCTTGCAACTCAGTGTAGTGGTTTAAGATAATTTACAGGGAAGTGTTTATTGTTCTTAGCCTGACCAGCCCTAACTTGAGAGTTGTCTTTGCTACGTAAAAGAAAGAATCACATCAGAGAATTTTGTCATGAATCATTTACTAATTACTTTTCTTTTTTATAATCTTTATGCACATTGAATTATTTTAGGATTTTAACTCTTGTTCAATTCTCCTGTATATAGAAATAATTTACTTGATTTAGAGTTCAGGATGTGATGAAAGTGATGTTCTGACTCAATATGTGACAAATTAACAAGGTTCTGTGCCTGCGTGCTGTAAGTAAGATGCATTGTTCGTTGTATCGTTTTAATATACCTCCCACATGAAAAAAGTTGAAAACACATTGTTTATATTCATATTAGCTCTGGTTATATTTCCCTCTGCAAACAATAGTTATTTAATATCTTCATTAATCTTATTTCTCAGGAGTAAAGTCTCATTAGATCTCTTGTCTAGGTGTAATATTTTTCTCTTAATCAGGTGCACAATCCGTTATAGTATAATGTTGACGGATTCAGTGAACTTGACATTGTTTCATAAACTAGCTTGTTAGTTGTTGAAAAGCCAACTAACATAGGAGTTAGATTACATCAGACGAAGTGCCTCTGATAATTCGAAAACCAAGATGAGATCGAGTTAAAATTTCCCTACATTCAAATCACAGACGAACATTATTTCTAATTTCTATTTTACTCTAGTTGAAGTAGTCTTCATCTTCATACTTAGTAAATGCGAACGTATATGTAAGCCGAAGTCTGGCAGCTGTTGCAGTTCTTGCGTTCTGATCATTCCTCCCAGGGGCTGATATTTATTCAAGCACAAAAAGGATGATCGCATTGTACATTAGTTACAATTAGTTTAGAGGATTAGTTATGGATGCTTTGTAGTTTCCCTTGTTGTTTACAAATATGTGACTACATAAAAGATAATGAATCAGCGAAAGGAAATTTTTTTTCTTCATGCACATTGTACATCGTTTTTGTTTGAAACAATCACTTACATAGATGCTAGTTCCCGCTCATAAGATCTGTTTGACTATTTCTAGTTTCTGGAAGAGTAACCAACTTCGGACGAACTGGATAATTAAAACATGAACCAATAATCTCATGTTGGATTAAATAGACATAAAGCCTCGGTCATTGTAAATGTAATGTCGCTTTTACTTTCATCGATGTGTATTTTTTTTTTTTGAACAAACGATATTCTACACTAAGGGGGAGGGGATGGGCTTAGCCTCACAATGTGTTATAAATAATGTGGTTCAGATTCGCCTTTGATGAAAATCGAATCTAAAACCTCTCACTTAATCGCTGTGTATTTATCCAACATATATATGGAATTGTGACCGTTACCAACTAGAATTTGGTCTTAATCTGAACCAAATGGATGAACAGTTGGCGTGAGTCAACCATTTAATTTAGGAATGTAATCCTATAATTTATTCCTTGTATAATTGGGATTCTTAATTCCTGTTATGTGGGATATTATACAACTATATATTTACCTCCTAGAAAGAAGAATAAACACACAATTCAAACTCTTAACACTTTTATCTTGGTATCAGAACAGGTTTCGACCTGTCTCTAAACCAGTACCCTTGTTGCCGACTTGGAGTTCTCTTTGGCTGGAAAAACAACCACCTGTAGTAAAACCAAAGGTGATATCGAAACAAGAGAATCACCTTGAACCTAATCCTAGGAAGCTAACCCATATCCACACCACCGTTTCTTTTTTAAATGGTTGAAAGCCATGCAATATTGGGTTCAACCCTTGGGCTTGCAACGCTAACATCCACAGTGGGTGTTTTCGGCCTTGCCGGGCCTGGAGCCCACCTTCCAAGCGGACTGGAGGCAGCTTCGCATGCCATTATTGGCAGCAGACTGGGCATGCGCCCGGGTTCATCAGTCAGTAATGGTGGCGTTGGTAGCAGACTGGGCATAGGCCCGCAACTTTCATTATTGAATTTGATTTCGTCCCAAGAACAATCTGATGATCCAAGTAAAATTGGCATTGCATTCACAACATCCACTAAACGAGATTCTGGTTGGATAATTGATTCCGAGGCTACGGATCATATGACATATGATGAATTCCTGTTTCACCACTTAACCGTGCCACCCAAAGAGAATGTTATCATAGCAAACGGTGAAATTGCTCCAGTTATAGGAGCGGGTTCCATCGCACTTACTTCCTCTCTATCTCTGCATAACACTCTTCATGTTCCTTCATTGTCGAATCATTTACTTTCTGTTGGTCAAGTTACAGAACAATTAGATTGTGTTGTACTCATGTTTCCCACTTTTTGCCTACTACAGTATATCCAGACACGGACGATCATTGGGCGTGGTACTAAGAGGAGAGGGTTATATTATGTGGATGATGTGGTACCGGGCCAAGTCAACCAAGTGAGCAGTGATCACAACAACAAGGTTAAGAGAATTTGGTTATGGCATCGTCGACTAGGACATGTATCTTTTGGTTATTTAAGAAAATTACTTCCGTCTTTATTTAATGGCATTTCAGACTCCGATTTTCAGTGTCAGGATTGCATTCTTGCAAAAAGTCATCGTACTTCTTACCACTTTAGTCTTAATAAAAGATCAGTGCCCTTTGAGTTAATTCACTTCGATGTATGGGGTCCCTCACCAATAGCGACACACCATGGTATTCGATGGTTTGTTACCTATGTAGATGATTGCACCAGAATGACTTGGCTCTATACCATGAAATAGAAGAGTGACGTTGGGCAAATTTTCCAACAATTTTATCGGATGATTGGAAATCAATTTTCTCTTCCTATCAAAGTCCTGAGATCCGATAATGGTGGAGAATATCTTAATTTTGAACTATCACAGTTTTTCACAGAGCATAATATACTTCACGAGATTACTTGTCCTTAAACTCCTCAACAAAATGGTGTGGCAGAACGTAAGAACAAACATATCTTGAAACAACACGGGCTCTTCTAATTGGGGCTCATGCTCCTCATGTCTATTGGGCGGATGCAGGTATGTATTTCGTTATCTTCTTAATCGAATGCCCTCTCGAGTTCACAACTTCCAAACTCACATGCAAGTCTTGACGGATTATGTCACATTACCATCTTCTCTTCAATTATCACCTCGCATATTTGGATGTGTGGCTTATGTGCATCTTCACAAGAATCAACGAAGTAAATTGGATCCGTGTGCTGTTTGTTATGTATTTCTGGGATTTAATAGCCAACAAAAGGGAAACGATGTTACCATCCACCTACTAAGCATTTCTATGTCACCATGGATGTCATGTTTTCCGAAACGAAGATGTTTTTCATCTTTGATCAAACCCATGGTACTCTTCAGGGGGAGTTGAATAGTAAAGACGAAGACTACAGTTGGTTTGATGTTCCACATGAATGAGACAGTTGGCATGGTCCTAGTGGTACAAGCGAGACCGAGACTGAAGACTTATGTGTTATAAGCAACCCACCTAACCATGCCTTACCAGAGGGTCGCGACATATCAATTCAAAGCCTAACAGTAGACCACGACATAGCAGTTCAGAGCCCGGTAGTGGCTAATGACACAACAAGCCAAAGCCCAGTAGATCTTAACCGTGAAACCCCTAACTAAGAGATAGCTCATGTAGCGTCGAATAATAGGCCTACACCATTTATGGATTCAGTTGAATGTAATGGGTTTGCGAGTGATACTGAGACTGTGCAAACAGAAAATAACCCTCATTCTCCTCCACTAGTACACGTTCATGTCCCCGTGGATATCCAAGAGGTACATTCTCATACTCCATATATTGTTGAAAATTCCTATATTTTACCTCCTAGGTAAAACCGCGGGAAACCACTTGACATGTTTTCTCCAGAAGGAAAAGTGAGATATGCAATTGCACAGTATGTGTTCACTCATCGACTATCACCCAAGTAAGCCATGATGAATCAAATGGCTGGGATTAAAATTCCAACAAAAGTGGAAAAGGCTTTACGAGATCCCCATTGGGTAGAAGCCATGGGAGTAGAGATGGAAACCTTACAAAGAAACAGAACGTGGAATGTAGTGTCATTACCATAAAGGAAGAGACTAGTGTGATGTAAATAGGTGTTCACTATAAAGCACAAGGCGGATGGATCCATTGATAGATACAAGGCAAGATTGGGAGCTAAAAGGTACACACAGACATTTGGAGTTGACTACCTAGAAACGTTTGCTTTGGTAGCAAAAATGAATACTATTCGAGTCCTTTTATCTTTAACAGCTAACTTGGACTGGCTTTTGAAACAGTTTGATGTGAAGAATGTTTTCTTACATAGAGATTTGGAAGAAGAAGTATACATGGATTTTCCACCAGGATATGAAATACCGAATGAAGCAGGGAAAGTATGTAGACTCTGAAAGGCTCTTTATGGACTCAAACAATCACCCAGAGCATGGTTTGGAAGGTTCACTGAAGCAATGAAAAAGTACGGCTATAGACAAGGAAATGCGGACCACACCATGTTCATCAAACGCATGGGAAGTAAAGTTACTTTGTTGGTTATCTATGTGGATGATATGGTAGTTACTGGTGATGACACATAAGAGATAAAAGGGTTGCAGAGGTATCTTTCATCAGAATTTGAGATGAAAGATCTAGGAGGCTTGAAATACTTCTTGGGCATTGAAGTTGCTTGTTCTCGTGATGGTATTTACTTGTCTCAGCGAAAGTATGTTCTTGATCTTCTCTGAAACTGGAATGTTGGCTTGTAAACCAGTTAAAACTCCCATTGTGCAAAATCATCACCTGGCGATATAACAAGATCAAGTTCCTACCGATATAGAAAGATATCAGAGATTGGTAGGACGGTTGATTTACCTATCACTTACATGTTCGAATATTGCGTATGCATGCAGTTAGTGTTGTAAGTCAATTCATGCATGCTCCTAGGGAGGATCACATGGCAGCAGTGATGCGTATACTGAATTATCTAAAAGGTGCATCGGGTAGAGGACTGATCTTCATGAAGCATGGACATATGGAGGTAAATGGGTATACTGATGCTGATTGGGTGGGAAACATTACTGATCGTCGCTCCACATTAGGCTACTTCACAATCATAGCAGGAAATCTGGTAACTTGGAGAAGCAAGAAGCAAAACGTAGTGGCTAGATCCACGACCGAGGTAGAGTACATAGGGATGACACGTGGAATTTGTGAATTGTTATGGCTTAGGATTCTTCTCATTGAGATTGGGTTCAAGCCTCAGGGATCTATGTTATTATAATGCGACAATCAAGCTGCAAGAGAAATAGCCAATAATCTCGTTCAGCATGATCGTACAAAGCATGTGGAGGTAAATAGACACTTCATCAAAGAGAAGTTAGATGTCAAATTGATTGATATTCCATATGTGAGGTCTGAAGAACAATTAGCAGATGTGTTAAATCATGCGGTTTCAGTAAGGGTGTTTCAAGACTCACTTGACAAGTTGGGCTTAGGAGATATCTATGCACAAACTTGATGGGGAGTGTTGGCGTGAGTCAACCATTTAGTTTAGGAATGTAATCCTATAATTTATTCCTTGTATAATTGGGATTCTTATTTCCTGTTATGTGGGATATTATACAACTACATATTTACCTCCTAGAGAGAAGAATAAACACAACACTTTTATCTTGATCACTCAAGCTCTCCATTTATTTGCAAGTCCTACGTGCTTTAAAAGCTCAAAGTGGATACAAAATTTGCCTAGGACTTGGATGCTTTTCATTGTTGGTTTGACAGAGTCTTTTTATTAATATCAACAGAAGAAAGGAATTTAATGTCTGCGTGTTGTATTTTTTTTCTTCTTATATTGCTCATTTGTGATAGAAATGTTACGGGTTCGAGTCGTGGAAACAACATTTTTGTAATGTAAAGGTAAAACTGTGTATGATATACGTCCCCCTCTCCCCTGACCCTCACAAAGCACAGAGCCTTGCTGGCTTAGGGTTGCCTTTATTAATGCTGGGTAGACTATTCAACCAAATTTGCAAACCATGTGATGTGTCACAAAAAAAAAAGCATGTTAATCAACACTTAGATAATAATTCAATTATCAACAACTACGTGATGAGATTTACAAAATATAGTTTACATAGATGATTTCTCTAGCATTCCCCGCATGAAAATGCATAAAGTATTAGTGCAGCTTGTATTTCTTTTTGCAATAAGAGCTGTTTAACATTTTCCATTAAGATTTGTTACATATATATATTTTTTTACCCAAACAATATTCTACTTTAAGGGAAGTTTTCGTAATTTACTGAACATGATTTTGATTGCTCTACAATATAATTTGGCTTCGCCGGGGTGAGTCTAGTCATTTGAGGTTAGTTTGGGATTGTAATGCTTAAAAAAAAAAAACAGCTTATTAAAAAATCTGGAACATCAAATGTTGGTAAAACAAAAAAAAAAGTGATATTTTTGAAAACTGTTGTCGACAACAGTAGAAAAACATAGAAAAGCAGAAGTAGGGTTTATAATGCTTAAAAAAAAAGCTTTTTATTTCAAAGCTAGTAATTAGTGTGCATTTAATGAAGTTTTCAAATGGCAAGTATACCTCCATCATTGTCCTTACATTATTTTCTTTGACAATTATTATATCACATTAAATACCATATCATTTTGTCACTCAGTACTACAGTTTGATGGTATTCCTCTTCATTTGGAAGTGAGAGGTTTTAGGTTCGAATATCGTGGATGACTAATTTGATACCAAATTAGAATGCCCATTATGTGGCTTAGCCGAACTCCCTCTCTCCTTAGTGTTATAATATCAATGTATTAAAAAAAATACCATGTAAGATCCCACATCGCCCAGGGGAGTGATCCTTATATGTATATTCTCATCCCCACCTAGCACGAGGACTTTTGGGAGCTCACTGGTTTCGGGTTGCATCAGAACTTTGAAGTTAAGCGAGTAGCGTGCGAGAGCACTCCCATGATGGGTGATCCACTGGGAAGTTCTCGTGTGAGTTTCCAGAAACAAAACCGTGAGGGCATAGTCGGGGCCCAAAGCGGACAATATCGTGCTACGGTGGTGGAGCGAGCCTGGGACGTGGTGGACCCCGGGCCGGGATATGACAATTTGGTATCAGAGCCTAACCCTGGCCGTGGTGTGCCGACAAGGACGTCGGGCCCCTAAGGGGGGTGGATTATAAGAACCCACATCGCCCAGGGGAGTGATCCTTATATGTATATTCCCATCCCTACCTAGCACGAGACATTTTGAGATCTCACTGGCTTCGGGTTCCATCAGAACTTCGAAGTTAAACGAGTAACGTGCGAGAGCACTCCCATGATGGGTGACCCATTGGGAAGTTCTCGTGTTAGTTTCCAGAAACAAAACCATGAGGGCGTAGTCGAGGCCCAAAAAGGACAATATCGTGCTACGGTGGTGGAGCGAGCCTAGGATGTGGTGGACCTCGGGTCGGGATGTGTCATACCATATCATTTTTAGTTATTTAACATATTTACAACAATTTGTATAAAGTTTACCAAATACTCAGACACTTTTTTTTTTGTCAAAAGCACTTTGACAAAAAAAAGTTTACCAAACACTTAATAACTTTATTTTACAGCTATTTATTCTCACATCACAATAAAAACATTTAAAAAAAACACAATAATACCAAACTAGCGTCCAATGACATGATGAAATATTTGTAAGTTTGAATTTTAGTTAATAAATGCATGTAGTCCAATATTTTAATGGACAAGTTGTTGGGTTTTTACGTATGCATTCCGTTTGAAACTCTCACCTCCCCAAATTATAGTTTTTCTTATAAAAAAAAAATAATTAATAAACATGTCGTCTTGTGTTGGTTATTTCAAGGGAGAAATTTTTGATTGTGATAGGAACACATATGTTATATCACGTATTTTTATGTAAATAGTGAAAATTTTTATTTTTTAAATTATTAATTTTTTAACATACATATCCTACTATTATATAATGACATATAATATATTATTATAAGCTGATCATACTGAAATTTCCGATTAACTTAACTTTAGAGAGTAGACTGACTTTAAACATCAATATCAGCAGCCAAGTTTGAATAGGCTTTCTATTAACAGTCAAGAAAATGATGCCCTGACCAAATATCTTTGACCGAGGTGCTGCTGAAGAATTATTTAAGGTCTGGGAGTTTAGGCATCGTAGACCTTCCCGAAGCACAAATATCCCGAGGAAATCGAACAACCATGTCAGAATACCTTCCCGAAGAAATTATAGTCCAAATTCTTCTTAGGCTTCCCGTCAAACCTTTGATTCAGTTCACCTCCGTCTGCAGATCTTGGAACTCCATCATTAAACACACTAGCTTCATCAACGCACACCTCAACCTTAGCCAGAACAAAACCAGCAACAACACCCCTTCCATCCTTCTCAGGCACTGCCCCAAGGACCCCACAGTTGAGCGCTATTCTTTACACTTAGACAATGACTCCTTCCTTAGAACACTCAAAGCCACAGCTTCCAGTTCAGAGCTTGATCGAGTGTTTCCGAATTGTGGGCTCGTGCAACGGATTATTTCTCCTCTCCGATGATTACCATGCAGAAACCAACACCTTGATTCTATGGAACCCCTCAATAAGAAAGTTCGTCTCACTTCCAAAGCCTCATGAACCAACCTCCCCATATTATCCTGTTTATGGGTTCGGTTTTGATTCGAAGAAAAATGATTACAAGGTAGTGAGACTGGTGTATCTCCGCCAAGATGATCAAGGCCAAGCTTGCCCTGAAGTTTCGCTTTATTCACTAAATTCAGGGTCTTGGAAAACCATTTCAGCAACTGCTCCTAATTATGTCATCGCTCAGACATTTTGGTCTCAAGTTTTTATCAAAGGAGCCGTGCATTGGATTGCGTCTCATCGAAAAGAAAATGGACTCCGCAATGTGATTTTGTCATTTGATGTGAGTGGTGAGACTTTTAAAGAGATTCAGTTGCCAGAAGATTTACCACGTCAGTTTTACAATATTTCAGCTGCTGGAAAGTCTATTGCTGTGAAGCACTATGAGGAAAATACACATAGTATTTGGATTATGAGAGAGTATGGGGTGGTGGATTCATGGACAAAGAAATTCTCTATTGATAGAAATGTCACCCCGAATTTCCTAGTTATACAGATTATGGGGTGCAGGAAGAATGGCGAGTTTCTGTTAGAAATGTATGACCATGGAGAGAAGACTGGAAAGTTGGTTTCTCATGATCCTAAGAACAACAGAAATGAATTTCTAGGAATTCATACAGATCCAGGGTATTCATGTATTGAATATTACACGGAGAGCCTAGCTTTACTCGATCGAGCGAGTTGATGCACATTCCATGAAGGAGGAAGAAACGAAGAATCGTTGAAAAGCAGCTAGGTGCTTTAGTTTTCAGTTTTCATTTCGTTATATATTGTACTGTATAAAATCCTTATTGAATTAGAATATCCCTATATGTGCTTGTCTCTCGATGATGAGATTTTCTGCTCTACTATGGTTGGTAGAGTTCCTATCTGTTCGTCTGTGAGTTTAAGAAGGGGAAAAAACACAGGGAGAGTTATGTTTGTGCTTGCTATGCTAGCATATATATATATATATATATTGATTCAGTATATTTTTATTCTATGAGTTGTATTAGTAATGAGTGTCAACGCGAATACGACTTTAATCCGGATACTGAATGATGTGTTTTCATTATTGTTGGGGGCTGCACGACAAAGTGGAGCTTATGAACTCATTCGCCTTGGCCATCTCATCAGCTTTGAACTTGGCAATTTCGGCCTTGGTTTCAACCTTGCTAACATTCTTATTCTACAATCAATCACCTGTTTGATGAAGTTTATGACTTGAGTGTTTAATTTCTCGTTTAGTTTTGAAATATGAAGGAGAGAAAGGAAAAACTTGATGCTTTCTGCAAGAGGAAAGCTTTCTGTGTATATTGATGATTGTGGCTGCCACCATCGCTCCCATCATCAATCCAGCACTGTTTTTCTTTGGTGATGGCGGCGATGGTGGCAGAGGCGTTGGTTGTGTTAACAATGGTTTTGAGGGTGATGGTAGTGGAAAATGTGGTGGTGCTGATGGTGGCGGCAGGGGCGATGGTGGTGAGATGATGATAAAAGATCTAGGATTGTAGATTGTAGGGAAAACAAAACACACAGGAAAGATATAACTCTACACAAGGTTTTCACTGTGATACATGCTCTACAAAGAGAGGCTGCATGTATTTATATTTACGTACTTAATACATCAGGAATATGCTGCACGTGGTGCATGTGTTTGAGGACCTATAAACTAACAAGCAGTCCATGCTGCACATGCTGAGGACAAATATAAAATTAACAAGTCCATGATCATCTCCATGCTGCCCGTGCCTGACTTGTCGAAGACCACATGTGGAGATAGAAAACTGATATATAAAACTGACAGCCCATACTTCTTGGTTCCCACATTCAAGTTCTAACTGTACGTCTAACATCCCCCCGCAAGCTAACAGAACGAGAAACGACTGGAAGCTTGGACACCAGCATTTTGAAGCGTGCAGAAGACAAACCTTTTGTACATAGGTCTGCAACTTGATCTTGGGAACATATGAAATTCACTAGCAGCTCTCCACGAACTACCTTTTCTCTCACATAATGATAATCAACTTCCAAGTGCTTGGTGCGTGAGTGAAAAACTGGATTAGACGCCAGGGAAATTGAGGAAATATTATCACACCAAATCGTAGGACAAGCAAGATTAAGTTGCAAGTCCCTGAACAACGAACGCAACCAAGATATTTCAGCAGCAGTGTACGCAAGTTGTCTGTATTCGGCCTCAGTGCTAGAACGAGACACTGTCTTCTGCTTCTTTGAACTCCATGAAACTAAGTTCGAACCCAAGTAAATACAAAAGCCACCAGTAGAATGTCTCGTGTCCGGATCACCGGCATAATCCGCGTCTGAGAAAGCACTGAGTTGCATTCCTCCTGGTTTATATACCAGGCCATGATCATACGTTGCCTTCACATAACGTAGAATCCGTTTTACAGCCAGCCAATGAGTAGTTTTTGGGGAATGCATAAATTGACACACCTGGTTAACAGCATAAGACAAATCTGGCCTTGTTATTGTCAAGTATTGCAAGGCACCAACAACACTTCTGTAAGTTTGAGGATCACTGTGCGTCTCACCATCCCAAGCACTCAACTTTTGTCCACAGGGAACTGGGGTAGAGATAGGTTTAGCATCCATGAATTTGGTGCGTTTCAAGAGATCAAGAGCATACTTGGACTGATCCAGATGCATATTGTTGTTGAAATATGTTACTTCAACACCAAGAAAGTAATGAAGAGGCCCCAAATCCTTCATTGAAAACAACGTACCAAGCTTCTGGATTAAATGATTCATTTGAACTGGACTATTCCCTGTCAGCAAAATATCATCGACGTAGATCAAAAGAATCAAATAAACCCCACGATTTTTGAACACAAATAATGAATAGTCACACTTTGAAGCTTGAAAACCCAACTGAAGTAAAAATTCGGAAAACCTTTGAAACCAAGCACGAGGTGCTTGTTTCAAACCATACAAACTTCTCTGCAGTTTACAAACATGAGTTGGGCATTGCTGATCGACAAACCCTGCGGGCTGTCTCATATACACCTCTTCTGCTAGATAGCCATGTAAAAAGGCGTTCTGGACGTCCAGTTGACGAACATGCCATTTATTCGATACTGCAAGACTAAGAACCATCCGAATAGTACTATGTTTAACCACTGGGCTAAAGGTCTCAGTGTAGTCAATCCCTTGTTTTTGATGGAAGCCATTGGCTACTAACCTTGCCTTATGACGTTCTATGGAACCATCTGCACGCCGTTTTATTTTATACACCCATTTGTTAGGAAGCAAGTTCATCTGAGAATGATAGGGCACCAAACTCCATGTCCCACACCGTTGCAGAGCATTGAACTCTTTTACCATTGCATCTCTCCACTCCTGATGTTTTACAGCCTGACTAAAACAAGTGGGTTCAACAAGGTTGTCAGTAGTAACAACATGCAATGCATATTTAGGGTTTGGTTTACGAACACCAGTTTGGGAACGAGTAGTCATTGGATGATGTTGCTGTGATTCTTGCACGGACTCACTCACTGGTTCATTATTTGGGACACACGAAACTATTTCTTGCTCATTTGAGGGTCCTATGGCTGATGTAGGTTGTCTAGGATGTTGGGGAGACACGTTGAGATGATTTGGAGATGGTGGAGGTATTATAGGTTGGCTAATAAGTGGTAGCAGCAATGGAGATTGGTTAGGATTAATTTGTGGGTGTAACACAGATGATGACGCAGGTGGAGGTGGAGTAGTGGAGGGAGACACGACTTGAGGGAAAGCATTTGGATAATTAAAAAATAAATCATGGCAAGATACAGTACCGTTATCAACGCATTCCACTGAAGGTGTGAGTTCCTGGAAAGGAAAAGAGTCCTCATCGAATAGGACATGGCGAGACAAATAAACTCGTCTCGTGGATAAATCCAAACATTTATATCCTTAATGATCCAACGAATACCCTAAAAATACACAAGACTTTGATTTGGACTCAAGTTTATTTTTAGTATACGGTCTCAACCAAGGAAAACAACGACTCCCAAACACTTTGAATGACTCATATTTAGGCTTTTTGTGAAACAATTTTTCATAGGGTGAAGTATTATACAATACACGAGTAGGGAGTCGATTAATTAGATATGTTGCCGTTAAAAAAGCATCAAACCAAAATTTGGAAGGAACATGAGCATGAGACAACATGACTAAACCAGTTTCAACAATGTGACGATGTTTTCTCTCAGCGAGACCATTTTGTTCAGGATGTTTGGGACATGAAAACCTTTGAGAAATTCCATGTAAAGTAAGAAATTGACTGAATGCATGACTCTTGTATTCTCCACCTTCATCACATTGTAGAGTTTTAATTGAACAATTAAACATATTTTCAATTTTTGTTTTGAATTTAACAAAAATCTCGAACACTTCTGATTTATTTTTCATGGGAAAATCCAAGAGTATCGTGAAAAATCATCCACAAATAATAAATAATAACGAAAACCTTCATTTGAAATTACTGGAGAGCACCAAACATCGGAATGTAAAAGTTCTAAGGGAAACATGGAAACAGACTCGGATGAACTGAAAGGCAACTTGGAACTTTTGCCTAACGGACAAGACTGACAAAACTTGACATCACTTGTGCCATGAATTGGCACTTGATTATTCAAAATTAAAAACTTTATGATTGTAGAAGCAGGATGCCCTAGACGAGAATGCCACTTCTGTGCAGAGACACGGACGCCTACAAACGCTGAAAAAGGATGATTGGATACTCCACGGCCATTTGGAAATGGGTACAACCCATTCTCACACCTCCCTTGGAAAATCGTCCTCTTGGTCTTGAGGTCCTTAACAACAAAATAATATGGAAAAATTAGAATGTAGCATTTGTTATCTAGGGTAAATCTATGGGCAGAGATAATATTGGTAGAGGCTGACGGACAATGTAAAACATTCTTAAGGTTAAATGAGCAAGAAGTAGCATTAATTTGATTTGAACCAGAGTGAGCAATAGCGAGTCCAGTATCATTACCTACACCACCAATGTTTTCATTACCGTTGTACGCTTTAGGATTAACCAAATTCTGGAGATCAGGTGTGATATGTGCATTAGCGCCTGTATCAATTAACCACGAACCATTTTTCTGACGGTTCAAGGGGATGGATGAGGAGGCCATTGCACTGAGACGCTGGGCTGGAATGCGTCCTTCGTATGCAGCATTCATGCGCTGGTAACAGTCAAGGGCAGGATGCCCTTCTTTTCCACAAATCTGGCAGGTTATTCGTCCTCCTCCACAACGTTCCCCATTACTGGCAGGAACACGTTGGTAATTATTGTTGTTGTTGCGAGGACCAAAGCCTCGTTGGTTGACACCACCACGGTTAGACGGAAAGCCAGCTCGTCCACCACCACGAGAGCGTCCACCACGTCCTCTTGCAGCTACAAAGGCATTCACAGGGGCTGATTCAACTAGTGAAACAATTTGTTCAGCCATTCTCCTCTCTGTAGTCAGGAGAAGAGATTCAAGTAGGAGTAGGGTACGTGATCGGAGTATCACGTGCCTGTGCTGCATTAACCGTCATTTCGAACGCGGAACCTAGATTATTCAAAATGATTTGGACGAGTTCATCATCGTCTACAGGCTTACCAACTAGAGCCAAATTGTCAGCAATGGCATTCATCTTATCAAGAAAGTCAGCAATAGATAAATCACCCTTCTTACATTGGAGTAGTTCATTTCGCAGGAAAAGAATTCGATTCTGCGAAGAAGAAGCATACCTTTGCTCCAGTGCTTCCCATGTTGCACGAGCTGATCGTTTGCTTGCCACAGTAGCAAGGACAGAGGCTGTAAGGGAGCCATTGATCCAACTCAGGATCATTTGGTCTTGCTGCATCCAAGTGTTGTAGGCGGGATTGACAGTGATGCTTCCAGCGAGATACTTGGATGGACAGACAACGGAACCATCCACATACCCCATAAGATCACGGCTCTTAAGGATTGGAAGAATCTGGGCTAACCATAACGGATAGTTAGTCCTATCGAGCTTGATGTTGACAATGGTAGTCATGGACGAAGACATGTTGATTAGAGCAGTTGCAGGTGGTGGGGTTTGCTGGGAATCAGGGAAGGTGTTGTTGTTGTTGGAAGACATGCTGGAAAAAAAAAAAATTATGGATCGTTTGTCGTTGGACTTAAGAGGCTCTGTATACCATAAAAGATCTAGGATTGTAGATTGTAGGGAAAACAAAACACACAGGAAAGATATAACTCTACACAAGGTTTTCACTGTGATACATGCTCTACAAAGAGAGGCTGCATGTATTTATATTTACGTACTTAATACATCAGGAATATGCTGCACGTGGTGCATGTGTTTGAGGACCTATAAACTAACAAGCAGTCCATGCTGCACATGCTGAGGACAAATATAAAATTAACAAGTCCATGATCATCTCCATGCTGCCCGTGCCTGACTTGTCGAAGACCACATGTGGAGATAGAAAACTGATATATAAAACTGACAGCCCATACTTCTTGGTTCCCACATTCAAGTTCTAACTGTACGTCTAACAGATGAGACGATGGAGGAGGTGGTGGTGGCCATGGTATGGTGGAGTTGGTGATGTTAGTGGTGGTGGTAGTGGCGGAGCTGCTTGAGGTTGTGGTGAGACATTGGAGGTGAAAAAGTGGTGGCCATGGGGTTGATGGATGTGATGGTGGCGGCGGTGGTGAGATACGGTGGAGGTGGTGGTCGCCATGGTTGCATGGGCAATGGCAGTTGATAATGTTGTGGTGGCAATGGTAACAGTGATGGTGGCATGCATGATTTAATTTATTTTAGTTTTTCTTAAAACTCAACTTTATTTTCAAATGTATATATCTTTCTTGTCTTTTTATACTCGAGGTGCTTTAAGTGCTGTGGAAGTACGCAGAATCCTCGAGGTGCTTAAAGTGCTGCGGAAGCATGCAGAATACTCGAGGTGCTTTAAGTGCTGTGGAAGCACGCATACCCACCCTTTGCAGAGAAACAGAGGAAGACAGTCGAGACTGATCAATTGAGAAATCAGAACCGAATAATCTCTGGGGCGGCGGCCATTCGACTGACAGACAGTTGCGATTAGCGCAATGGCGGTGACAGAAGGTGATGTTCATAGACAAGAAGAGTACTTTGACGTCCTCACCAAAACCGGCCAGAAGACCGGCATTTCCAAGCCCAGGCAAGCAGAGCTAGTATTTTTTTTTAATTGATTTAATTATTTTCTTGTAATTTCTGGAAAACAAACGGAGTATATTGTGGAAGGAAATGATAATGGATTAAGCAAAGTAAGTGAATCAATTACAATTATCAAGTAAATTGAAACTCAATCGACCAATTTAGATAAACTCCAACCCAATAGTTTTCTGTTTTATTAATGTGTATGTATGTAAATGTTGTGCTTTCTGATTTTTAAGAAATTTGTGCTGATAACCCATTAGTTCTGAATGTTTAGATTCAACTGTATATGTTTTGTGGTATAATGAATGTTATTGATGCTCATGTAGGGGAGATGTTCATCGAGACGGGGATTACCATCGAGCTGTTCATGTGTGGATTTTTGCTGAGAGTACACAAGAGCTGCTTATCCAAAAGCGTTCCGACTGCAAGGATTTGTGGGCGGGACGGTGGGATATCTCAAGTGCTGGACACATATCCGCTGGTGATTCGTCACTTATAACAGCTCGGTACAAAGTTTCATTGCCCCTACCTGTAACATACTTATAGGCTTGTACTTACACCCGTTGCTATCTATGAACTTTTCTTTTGATAATAAATTTGTATTATTAAAGGTACATGTACAACCGAATAGTTTTTTTTAGTTGTTTGTTTTTTGGGTTAAAACTTGGAGCTTTCTGAACGGTGGTCACAAAAACACTAAAACACAATGTATGTTTCAGGAGGGAGCTTCAAGAAGAGCTGGGTATAGTACTTCCAAAGGATGCATTTGAAATGCTGTTCGTTTATCTTGAAGAGTGGTTAGTAGGTCAATTCCTTTATTCTGTTGTTGGATATATATATTTCTTTATCTAACATATTTATCATAAACTAGTTTTTCTTTAAAATATTGCTACTACTTGTTACTAGGTCTGCACGTTTAGTTTTTCCATTTTGTGTTAAGTTGGAATCTGATGTGCGTAGCTAGACATCTTCATTGTTATTGTAATTAAGAATTAGTTCTGGAAGGTGAGATGTTATACTTGTGAAGTTGTTGGAGTTGTTCCAGTTTTGTTCCATCCAGAATTGACAGGAGGTAGAAGTGTCACAAAAATATATATGGAAATCAAATTGATAGAAGACATTGTATATTAATATGTTAACTTACGTTGTGTTACAATTTGAATGCAGTGTGACAAATGATGGAAAATTCATTAACAATGAATTCAATGATGTATATTTGGTAACAACTGTGAATCCAATCCCTCTCGACGCATTTACTCTTCAGGTGAGAAGAAGATCTGTCAGTTACATTCTCTTTAAGTCAGGAAGTATGGCCATAAGAATTATTGATCATTCTTAGAAATAGTTCAAAGACTACGGGTGAAAAGTAGTAAACTATGATGATGATGTTTTGATATTTGTTGCTATGTGCCTATGTAGCCATAGAAATTTTCACGAGTATCCGAACATATTTGCATTTCTGTTTAATGACAGGAAACGGAAGTCTCTGCTGTTAAATATATTTCTTATGAGGACTACAGAAACTTACTTGCTAAAGAAGACCCTGATTGCGTCCCCTACGACGGAAATGGGCAATATGGTCAGCTTTTTGACATAATTGCACGGAGGTATGCTGTTAATAGTAGATCAATATGTTCATAAATGTGAAAACAGAAAGACAAGCCATATCTCCCTATCAAGTTCAAATTTCTCAGATATTCACTACTTCCTTATGTCTGTTATTTCATATTAAATTTAATAAAGGTACAAGGAGAACACTATCGGTCGAAGTTTAACACTACAAAAGCAACTCCAACGTTATGCTCCTGTTTCCCTCAGTGCCGAGGTTAGTTCCCTTTAGTCAATTACTCAATTCTTACATCTGTTATTCTTTTTGTAAATTATTTCTGTGGTTTATTATTCCTTTTTCTTCTTCATTTGATTTTTTGTCAAATGATTATAAGAAGTTAAAGTTTTTGAAAAATCCTGAGTTTCCAAGAAGCTTCATCTTGTGTTTTAGTGATTGGGATTAATTTGCTTATGCCAAAATCTGCATTTGACTTTTTTGGTTGCACTGGGTCTGGGTGATGTGAAATATGAATTATATATTATGTGCATAATTGCAAGGTTTCATGGCATTGAGCTTTTCGTTGAATTTGTTCATTCCATCCAATATTCTGGGGATACAAATGATTTCTTGGCTAGTATTTATGGGCTGCATACCATTCTTTCCACTTTCTGTAATTTGTAAAACCAGTACATGCAAACTGTGCAAACCAATTTTAAAGTTGAGTAAAAGTATAAGAAGCTTTCTTGTCTAAAAGGTGAACACTGAACAGTATTATTACAGATATTTAAGCAAATGGTGTAATTTGTTTTGTCGCATTTCTATTTAAACTTCATGTGTCCAGAATATAGGATATTATACACTTTTGATGTTGAAGTTCCTTTCCCCCACTTTCCCATATTTTGTAATTTGTTGGTGTCCTTCCGTCTTCTTTTAGTTGGTTGGGTCCTTGAAGTTAAGTTCAGCGTATTTTGTTTCTTTGTTGCAGTTAACAGGTCTTACAGAGGCAGACAGGGAGGCCCTGGTGTTACTGATTAAGGCTGCAGCAATTATAGATCAAATCTTTTACCTTCAGGTTGTATAGACTCGTACAGAAATACATGCATTGTTAAATAACTAAGCAGACACTCCGATCTGTGTATTTGTGCTGTTTAGGCTATTCTGAATCTCTGATGCATAATGATCATTGATATGCATGAAAACCATGAAGTGTGATGCTGTTTCATGGTACATCTGACTATCATCAGTCGGGTGCATCTGCACACTCATTTGTTGGAACATATTTTGCACTATAATTTGCTATTTTCACACGAAAGTAAAAATGCACTAAATGAGCTAGGCTGTATGAAATATCTTGTAATTTTCATGTGTTGCAGCTAGTTTGTTACGCACATTTTTTTCTTTTCCGTTTTTTTTAATCCTTAAACAATGTTGAACTGACCATTTCTGATTTTTTCCACTCCATTTTTCTAAATTTACATTTAGGTTTGGTGCTGTAATCCGGTTCTAAGGGATTGGTTGAAGAAGCATGCGGATGCATCACAGTTAGACAAGTTGAAATGGATGTACTACGTTATTGAATAAGAGTCCATGGTATGTATTTTTTTAACTCAGTGCTCTTTCAGGTGTATGCACATGCCATTTTTACGTACATATATACCATGTTGTGTGTGTCTTTGGTGTGGGTATGCTTGTGTAATTCTAATTTGGGAAGTTACTACTTGAGTAAATGTCCACAAATGGGCTTTGGGCTTTGGTACAATTGATTCAGTGGAAAAATTCTGCAGGGTTGTTAAATTTTCTGGTTATGTGAAAAATTGGGTTGCTTTCCTTTCAATTTTGTACTGAATGTGGCTTGCTTGTTAAAACTAAATTTTGCAATTTCTCCTTTAGTGTGATGTGATTCATCTTGGCAGAAACCAAAGTTGTGTACTGAATGTGGCTTGCTTGTTTAGTTTTCTTTGTTTTGAATGGATGGACTTCTTGTTCACCCCCTTTTTTCTTAGCTTCTCCCTCTGTAAAATCCCTGTTTCCTTTTAACAATGAAAATAAAACTATTAAGTTCGTTTTCTATGAACAGGTCGTCCCTTGATGAAAATGAGGCATTTTTGACAACTGCAGATTCGGCTATAAAGTTGCTTCCTGAAGCAACAAAACGGGTTACTGGGTGGAAGGGACTTGAATACAAAGCTGCGTTTCCTATGCAGAAACCTCCTGGCGCAAACTTGTATCCGCCAGACATGGACAAAGTGGTATATTGAATGAGCTCATTGTATTGTAGGAAATATTTTTTACGTTTGTGAAGACAAAAGAGTTTCTTTCGGTGTAGGAATTTGAATTGTGGAAGAAAAGTCTAACTGAGGACCAAAAACAAGCTGCAACAAGCTTTTTCACAGTTACTAAAAGGCAAAGCGAATTAAGTCTGGATTCATCCTTGTATGGCTGTACAGATGAAAGCACAAGTCATTCAGTGACATCCACTCATGATCTATATAGTGTTCCCTTTCTCCCAAGAGTATAATGCTTTCCTCACACAAGCAGCTGAGTTATTGCATAAAGCCGGTGAATTGGCCAGTTCCCCTAGGTATGAGTTTGAAGACTATCTTTTTTTAAGTTGTTTCATTACTGAATTCTGAGGTTAATAATTGTTTATGAAATTTTCACTGGTTCTGTGTGGGTTTAATTTACAGGGGTTTCAAGCTTTACAATGTATAAGTAAATCAGACAAGAGTCCAACAAAAATCCCTTGATATTTTACTGTGATATATGGCTTTTATGTCCCTTGATGTCAGCTATCCCTTAATATTTGGCTGTATGTATGGCTTCTTTTATGACTGGTATCCAGCGTTATATCACAATGAAATATCATGGGACAAAAACTTGCCCTGTATATGTAAAGCACAGTTCTTTCTTTTTCTTTTTTTATCAGTGAAACCTCTGTATTTAAACACATTAACTCATCATCCATAAGTTCTTAACGTTAAATTAGAGTGAGTTAGAGTGAGAGACATTAAGTTTGATTCTTTGCAATTGCAGTCTCCCAATTTATAGTGAATTCTGCATGTTGGCCTCTCCAGTGATGGGAGGAGGTCCACACGTGAGGGGAAATGAGAGTATGCTAAATACTGATGTTAGAAAAAATTACAACTACAAAACTTGACAGTGGTCGTGCTAAATATTATCTTTGTACAAATATTAACTTAATCTTTTGTTCGCTATGAAGTTTGAAGAGATTTTTTCACAGCAAGGCTGATGCTTTCCTTTCAAATGACTACTATGACTCGGATATAGCCTGGATGGAGTTGGTTAGTAGAGTATTTAATCTACGAATTTACAGTCATGAATTATAATTCAGTTATATGGTGTTGGTTATTCGTTCCTTCCTATAAACAATTTTTCCATGAGCTACTTTATTAATATGTCGAAGTTGCTAGCGCGCAGTTTATATGGTCTTATTATTGGTTTTATAGCGTAAATGAAGAGGGTCATATAATTGCTTATTGTTAATTATTTTCTATTTAATTTAACAAGAATATCTAGTTTTCTAAAGTTGCATTGCTTATTCCTGTGCTGAACAATGGGGTTATATCTTGTAATAAGGAATCCCCTATTATGTTGCCTGCTGACAACCATTTTTTCAGTAATGATCACGATTTTCCTTTCTTAATGTATAACCTAACAGCAATAAAATAAATTCAAAACCAGCGGCCCAGTGGAGGTACTAACAGCATATCTTAACTTTATCCACTAGAAATACATTTTCACCCCGCACTTGCCTTCAAATATTTGACCATTCTATCCCCGCTTAAATGACCCAAAAAATTGCCAACAGACTACAACTTTACAAAACTTAAGCTTTTTCCCACCACGAAAAGCACAGTGTTTCTCAACTAAATAGTTATACACAAGACTGGGTGAACTATGAAGTCACCATACTCAACCATGTTTCTCGGAACAACCTGTACCATAGTCTCAAGAAGACGAGACAGTGAAAGCATGGAAGCTTTCGTGTTTTCCTCTTGTTATTTGCTTATTGTCTGTAAATTCTTAAGAGCATAAACTGTTGAACTAGCCTTTGTTTTTGTCTACTGTTCTGTTGTAGAACTCTAAGCTGGATGTTACTATTGGTCCATATGAAACATATGAAGATGCTCTTTTTGGATACAAGGTATTTTTTATGTGGAGCACCCTTGTGTTTTGAGCTTCTGCATTTATCACTTTGTATTTTTAAATGTGATCAAACTGACATACTGCAATTACAATGATATTGATCTCAGATTTCAATTCTTTCTTTTTTTCCATATAAGTTTTTTATACTATTCATTTTCTTGCATTTGGGCATTTATTTTCTAAAAGGACATATTTGGGAATTTAAGTGATGTAGCATGGTAGTAATTTTCGACCTTTAGATATGTTATTGAACTGCCTTTTATTTCAGGCTACTTTTGAGGCATTTATTGGAGTTCGGGATGACAAAGGCAACTGCTCAAGTAAAGCTTTTTGGTGACAATTTGCAGGTACTGTTGTACTAAACATTTTCTACCAGAGATGCAATATCTTACCAAAAGTAATAAAGAACCTTGACAACTTTGTTATTCCTTCCTAACCATCCATTATTACTATTTTTATAAGGTTTTGGAACAAAATCTGCCACTGGACAGTGTCTACAAGTCCAAAGATGTGAAATCTGCTCCTATTCGAGTCATCGATCTTATTTACAATGCCGGGAGTAAGTTTTGGAACTCTGATATATCTTTCAAGATGTTCTGAATCTATGGCAACATGCAAGTTTTTCATCACAGAGGCACAATGACTGGGATTATGGTTTTCCCTGCTTCTAACCCTATACTGTTGAGCCAAATAATCAATGAAAAACTGTTTGGAGGGTAGAAAATAAAAATATATACGTCTCATATTTAGGTTTGAGTTTCACATAAATCTACCAATCACAAGTAAAATTACTGGAGGCTTGGGTTTTAATAAAATAGAGGTTAGAGTCTTCGTTGACCTGTGTTTAATAATATATGATATATATGCAAATTGATCTGGTTGGTGAAGTGACATTGACAACTTCAAAATTTTACCCCAGGATGTCAAGGGTCCTCAAACTGTTGCTTTTAATCTACCAAATGACGAGCGTATTGTAAAAGATCGAGGAACATCAATGGTCATGCTTAAGAATATCTCAGAGGCCAAGTAAAAATTTCCTTCCCTCAGATGAGTATCCATTATTGCTTTTCCAAATTTTGATCTGTTGTGTTGGAATGGTAATGTCAGAACTACCCATGCTAAATCAGGTTCAAGCACATTCTTCTGCCTATAGCCGATGTTTGTATTATCACAAAGGAACAACAGGAACTTGTAGATTTTGAATCTTTCTTCACTCACATAATGTGCCATGAGTGCTGCCATGGGATTGGACCTCATAGCATTACACTTCCAGATGGTAGAAAGTCAACAGTGAGATTGGTGAGTGACATCACTATAAATTATCTAGTTTACTTGTTCACTATAGTTTGGTTTGACAACCTTTGTGAATTGCATTGCTGCGAATAGTAAACCAAACAATTCTTCAAAATAAGGTTCAGTATATCTAGCAGAACAGATAGTTTAATAAACTTTTATTGTCAATTTTATAGTAATTGTTGCTGGTCAATGCACATTAAAACTTGAGGTTGATTTCCTAGCTCTACCTATCTTTCTACAGAGAGACATCGAAACATAGTTTGAGAATTAAAGTGTTGCAGCAAGAACACTTTGTTAAAGTCCAGTTTCCTTGCAAATTCCTTGAAATCTTGTTTCCTTGCAAAACCCTATTTGGTTGCTTAAGTTTAGTTTGCTTTTTACAGTTAATCGTGGTGGCGGCGCAGGTGATGCCCACCTTAGTTGACTTTTCGTAAAAACACGTGGTGTCTTCATATTGTTGAGGCATGTGATGGCCTATGTTGTTGAGGTGTTAAGGCACTTTATGTCATCATGTATTTATGTGTGTGCATGATGCCCAGTTGTTAAAGTGGGCAATAATATTTCTAGCCTTCTTCAAATGGAACATCTTGCATCAAAATTAGAAGTTTTGTTTCGAGTTTTTGTGAAAATGGATCCCAATCAGTGATTCTTGACATTGTCAGTATAGAAAGTCCCTATAGATGACTATTGGTCAATTTTTTTATATGACCCCAGGAACCCAGTTGCTTTTTTTTTTTTTTTTTGATTTGGGGTTTTAGATGTCAATGAATTTCTTCAACTGATGGAGGAGTTTGTTAGTTGTGAAGCATTTTTTAGATCAGTTGTATTATTTATGTTAAAAAAAAATATTCTCATAATTTTTACCAATTTTTGACGATTATATTCAAAGTTCTTGTGCTTCTTATTATGTTTCTAATGTCACATTAAACAGTTTAAGAAAAATCAATTAAAAAAAGAAGTAAATTTCAGGAAGGTTAAGTACATCAAGTGTGCACTGTTTTCTTAATGCCAAATCTGATTTGCCCTGTGTCCCTTTCATCTCTTGATAAAGGAACTGCAAGAACTCCACTCAGCTCTGGAAGAAGCAAAAGCTGATATAGTTGGCCTTTGGGCATTGAAGTTCCTAATCCACAAGGTGAGTGGCGATTGAATTTGGTTGAGATTGCTTCGCTTCACTTTATCTCATTAGTGGGATAGTTTGGTTTACAATTTTTTTAATTATGTTATCATCAAGGCAAGTGGCCCTCTACCACAGTGGTGGAGAGGAGTGTTGCCCTTGCATGACTGTGTGGGTTTGAACCCCGTCGGCTCTCTAATCTAACAAATCTATCGTTTGACAAAAAAAATTCTGTTATCATCAAGATGACGCTGGACCTCTTGGTTGATTGAGTCATTTTTACCTTTCATTTTAGTAATTATTAATGAAAATTTTCTTTCTCATAAGAAGTTGTGTTATTTTCACTGGTACTCATAACTTCATAGTGTGGTGGCATACAAGCTGTGTTCTAGTGCTTATGCTAGTTGAAGTTCCAATTGTCTCTGTCTTGCTGGTTCCAGGACATGCTCCCAAAGAGTTTATTGAAGTCTATGTATGTTTCTTTTCTTGCTGGGTGCTTCCGCTCCGTACGGTTTGGTCTTGAAAAAGCTCATGGGTAAGCTAGTAACTCACGCCTCCTCTAGTCCACTTTTGTCAATTGTCAGCAAGCAAATTATACTATAGTAATCATCTAGCATGTTTGGCCACCAAAGTATCTTATATTTTATATTTGTAGAAAAGGACAAGCGTTGCAATTTAACTGGTTGTATGAGGAAGGAGCCATTATTTTGAATGCTGATGAAACATTTTCTGTTGACTTTACCAAGGTATTACTTCTCAAGTTTCTAAATTTCCTCCTTATGCCCCCTGAGATGACACATCAAGGCCATATATTTAACTACTCCTTTATTTTGGTAAAAGGTTGAAGGTGCAGTTGAGAACCTGAGTAGGGCGAATACTCACCATACAAGCAAAAGGTGACAAGGAGGCTGCGAAATGTGCTGCTTCAGAAATACGGCATAATGACGAACCCAATAAAAGTTGCTATGCAAGAAATTAGAGAAAATTCAGGTACGGAAAGGCTAATTCGATTAAGCTTGATCCAAATATGAAGAATTATGGCACTTGTATGCATATTATTAAGCTGATATTTGCAAATCACTGGCATTATTAGACAGAAATTTCTAGGAAGACATTTTCCCAGTTTTCATTTGATCAAGTTGACATTTTGTGATTGTATTTATTAAGCTGCATTTTCGCATTGAGAAATATTCGGTGATTTGCATTATGTAGTTTGTTTTTGGCTCCCTTGTGTTCTTTTTAAATGTTTGGAAATCCCATACAATGGAAAATCTAAAACTGAAATCTGTAATCCAAAAAGATGCTTTAAGTTTCTGTGAATCATATGGCGAACGTCGTGCAGTTACTAACGTTTTCTTATTTGCATAGGTCCCCGTGGATATAGTTCCCACATTCCCGGTAATAGATAAAATATTGGAGCAAAGACAACAAATGGGTGAGTCTCATTGCCATCCTTTCAAGGATGCTTGTAAATGGCAACATAATTCCTGAGCTAATGACAGAACGCAATATTTGATGTCTTGATCCCCCATCTTATAAATTCTTCCTCTACCTGTTGAATATATCGAAGTATCAACCAATCTCTTAATTCTTGTACTGTGTGCTTGCAGATCATGAGACAGACAAGTGGCTTCGATGACTTTTTTATCTCGCAGTAATCTGGTTGGGTGGTGCGATAATTCTCATTGCTCTGCTCTATGAACTCCTCTTGAGTTTGGGGACGCATGGATAATATACGGACTTGACCTCTGAGTTTACATGGGTTACTTGTGGTACATTATGGATGTAAGATGGTTAAATAGATGACAAGTCGTGTGTCGCACCAAATGGAAGATTGAGTCGAGTCTGGTATGCAATAAAGTCGAGCGACTCAAGTCATCTTCCTCGTCTGAATAATAGTGTCCTAAGCTGACATAAAACTGTGAAGCATGATTGATTGATCGCAGGATTAATCTTGCTTTTCCATATTATCCTTTGAGTCTCGTCTAGTTATGGGTGACTAATTGAGATGTTCAGTCTTGGACTCATGTTTATTTTGTTTGATTTTAATGAATTCAGACGACTGGATATGAAGGAAAATAATGTAAAAAGGAATGGGGAAAAATGAGAGGGTGTTGGTCCTTGTTCATTTTTCTTAACATGTCGAGTAACGCCACACGTGGCTGGTTATGCCTTTGACGTGTGTGTTTACCGACACACGTGGCATCCAAGTCCAATAATACATTGTTGCGTGTAAAAAAATTCGTAGCAATGCATACTATTGGATAGGGGATGTCTTGTGACAGTGAAACTTACGTACATGACTCCAACCAAAAATAATATTTTGAAAAGTCCAAATTAAAACTAGGAATTGACTATAATACTTGTACTTATTTTCTCCCTAATACGTAGCTTAATTGATTTTGTTCTTAGCTGCAAAGAACTCCATTTTGCTTTCCAATTCTAGCGGCAAAAATAAAATTAATAATATCTTCTTGGATTGTCCTAATAAACTGAAGTCAATAGGTATATACTTTTGTTCTAATAAATAGGGGCTCGTATAAGAGCTCTTAAGTTCGAATTTGGTTGATAATGGGTTTGATATTAATTTATTCCCTCTACTCTCAAAGTATATGGTTGTTTAAAAAAAGTACTCTTTATTTTAGGGGTGGGCGCGGTTGTGTTGGGGTCGGTTGAGCCAAAATTGCAAATCGAAACCGATCAAGCTGAGTCTAAAACTGATTATGTTGGCTGGTTGGTTTGGATCGGTTTTCAGTTTGCAGATGACGCCGGAGTGGGGAAGAAGAGCTATCATCTGGAGAGATTCACGATGGTGGTGGAGGAAGAATGGAGGATGCGGCTGGGAGTTTGTTGTGCTAAGTTTGAGAACTAAGATTGAAAGTGAGAGAAAGAGGCCACGAGAACAAACAGCCAAAAAGTGATATCCATTAAACACCCAAAACGAGGGCACAAGAACAAGAACAAGAACAAAAAGGCAAAAAGGCAAGAAAGTAAATAAAAGGTGATGTTGATGCAAAGTAGGCAACATAAAAGTCATTCTACATATACAGACAAAACACCACCATCACCACTAAGGTTTCTATTCTGATTAAAACAAATAAAGCCAAACAAACGGGTCGTACAGTTAACCGATATCCAAAAATTATAAGAACTGCTCGTCAAAACCAACTTCAGTCGGTGTAGTTCTTTTTATTCATCGAAAAAAAAAACCAAATCAAACCGTCGTTGTGGTTTAGTCGGGTTTTTTTTAATTGCCCAGCCTTACTTTATTTAATATCTACATTAGTTTTTCAAATTTTTATGATGTTTTTCGGCAAACAATTCGAAAATTATGGTTCCTTACACATTCTTGGGATGATGGTCACCCCCCCCCCCCCCAAAAGCATAAAAGTGAGAAAATTTGGAATAATAAGCAAAGTGTTATAAATAGGCAAAAGTTAGAGAGATAACCTTTATTAGGGTCAGGAGCGAAGCAATTGCAAAATATTATACCAACACAAAATGATTGCAGAGGAAGTGAGGAATATTATTATTATCAGTTGTTTTTCTCTCGTAGTGTCTTGATCACCTATGTGGTGATCTATTTATAGAAGGTTTACAATGAATGAAAATTACTTCCCGTGACATAACACAACAAATTATGCCTTATTCATTACTATTCACATGTAGGCATACAATCCCACTATTTACAACACTCCCCCTTGGATGCCCACATACCAACACCAGTTGCCTCGTTAAAACCTTGCTTGGAAAAACCCAGTGGGAAAAAACCATAGCGAAGGAAAAAGAGTACAACTTTACTCGGATTGTTGATATGGTGTATTGTTGATATGGTGTTAAGTGTGCTTACATTGCCTCGTTAAAACCTTGATAGGAAAAACCCAGTAGGAAAAAATCCTAATCGAAGGAAAAAGAGTACAACATGCGTGTGTCATAGATGCTCCCTCTGAATTGTATCTCCCCTTGATTCCGCATTCTTCAAATTGGTAAGCCGATGTAATCCGATTCCCTGCACTAACTTTTGAAATGTGCACTTTGGTAAATATTTGGTGAACAAGTCTACCAGATTTTCATTGGAATGAATTTGTTTAACTTCAATAACTTTAGCCTTCTGAAGCTCATGTGCACTGAAAAACCTTGGAGATATGTGTTTAGTCTTATCCCCCTTGATGAATCCTTCATTCATTTGGGCAACACATGCTGCATTATCTTCATGGATAACAGTTGGAGTGTCTGTCTTTGAAGGTATACCACATGAATTCCGAATGTGATGGATCATTGATATTAATCAAGAACTTTCACGACTTGCTTCATACAAAGCAATTATTTCCGAGTGATTGGAAGATGTAGCGACTAATGTTTGCTTTGTTGAGCGCTATGAAATTGCAGTATCTCCATTAGTGAACACATATCCAGTTTGTGAGCGGGCTTTGTGCGGATCAGAGAGGAAACCAGCATCTGCATATCCAACAAGGATCTGGTCATTTGTGGACTTGTCTAAGTAGAAGAGACCTATGTCTGTTGTCCCACGAAGGTATCATAGAACATCTTTGACTCCCTTCCAATGACGAATTGTTGGAGCAGAGCTATACCTGGCTAACAAGTTAACTGAAAAAGCTATATCTGGTCTAGTACATTGTGCTAAATACAATAAAGCACTTATTGCGCTCAAATATGGTACTTTTGGACCAAGGACCAGTTCATCATCTTCTTTTGGATGGAATTGATCTTTCTTAATGTCTAAAGAACGAACAACCATTGGGGTGCTAAGTGGATAAGCCTTATTATCCATGCCAAATCGCTTCAGTATTTTTTCAATGTAAGCTGATTGATGGACCAAAATTCCCTTAGCACAATGCTTGATCTGTAGGCCGAGACAATATTTTGTTTTCCCAAGGTGTTTCATTTTAAATTCGCTTTTTAGATATTCAGCAGTTTTATTGAGCTTTTCAGGAGTTCCAACTAGGTTCATATCATTGACATACTGCCACTATAGCAAATCCAGTATTTGATTTCTTAATGAACACATAAGGGCATATGACATTGTTGATATATCCTTCTTTGATCAAATACTCACTCAGACGATTATACCACATTCGTCCAGATTATTTCAGCCCATATAGTGATCGCCTTACCTCGTGGTATGTTAGTTGCTTCAGGCAACTTAAGTCATTCTGGGACTTTCATATATATGTCAGTATCTAATTCTCCATATAGATACGCGGTGATGACATCCATAAGTCGCATGTCAAGTTTTTCTGAAACCACCAAACTTATTAAGTAACGGAATGTAATTGCGTCCATTCCAGGAGCGTATGTCTCTTCATAATCAATTCCAAGTCTTTGTGAAAAACCTTGTGCAACGAGTCGTGCTTTATATCTTGCAATCTTGTTTTTCTCGTTGCGTTTCCTTATGAATATCCATTTGTAACCTACGGGGTTCACACCAGGCGGGGTTTGGACTACTGATCCAAAAACACTTCGCCTTTCCAAGGAATTTAATTCTGCTTAGATTGCATCTTTCTACTTAGGCCAATCATGTCTCTATTTGCATTCATCAACAGAGCGGGGCTCAATGTCATCGTTTAATATAATTTCAGTGGCTATTGCAAATGCAAACATGTCGTCGATGATTATTTCATTTTGATGCCACAATTCATTAGTACATGCATAATTTATGGATATTTCTTTGCTTTCATGTACTTCTGTCTCTTCAGGGACATGTGTCTCATCAAGGACATTTTCTTTTTCTGGAAGTACAGAATCATGAATTGTGAATTTATCATTCATTTTCTTTTCCTGAATGATTTCATTTGGGTTCAATTATGCCCTCATCTTTCTCTTTCGAGGGGCTGAATCTTTTGAACCTAGGGTCTACCACACTTCAGACGTGTACTAGATGAATCATTCGCTGCCATTTTATTTTGTCCAATAGGGACATCAATTCTTGCAGGTGCATTTGCAGCTGGTATATGTGACTTTGTCACTTTCGAAGCATCATTAAATGCATCTAGCATTTGATTAGCAATACCTTGAAGATGAACGATCATTTTCACTTCATTTTCACATTGAGTGCTTCGTGGATCAAAATGAGATAAGGTGGGAACAATCCATGTTAGCTCTTGCCGTTCTTCTAGACCGGTCTTTTCTCCCCCTAACGACGGGAAGACTATCTCATCAAAATGACAATCCGCAAAACAAGCTGTAAATATATCACCTGTCAAGGGTTCCAAATATCTAATGATATATGGTGAATCAAAACCCACATAAATTCCCAATTTGCTCTGAGGTCCCATTTTAGTGCGTTGTGGTAGTGCACTAGGCACATAAATCGCACAACCAAAAACTCAAAGTGTGAAATGTTTGGCTAATGCCCAAACACGAGTTGTATTGATGAGTATTGGTGGTTGGCTATGAGTCTTAGTCGAACCAATGATGCAGCATATAAGATGGCATGTCCCCATGCAGAGACTGGCAATTTTGTTTTTATGAGTAGAGTGCGAGCTATTAATTGAAGCTGCTTGATAAATGCCTCTGCTAAACCATTTTGAGTATGGACATGAGGAACATGATGTTCAACATCAATGCCCAGCGACATGCAGTAATCATCAAAGGTTTGAGATCTAAATTCACCAGCGTTATCAAGTCGGATTGACTTAATGGGGTGATTTGGGAATAGTGCTCGCAACTTAATTATTTGAGCAAGAAGCCTTGCAAAAGCTACATTTCGAGTAGACAATAGGCAAACATGTGACCATCGGGTAGATGCATCAACCAAAACTATAAAATATCGAAATGGTCCACAAGGTGGTTGAGTAAGTCTACAAATATCCCCTTGAATTCTTTGCAAAAATGATGGGGATTCAGCATCAACCTTTAGTTGTGATGGTTTAATTACTAACTTCCCTTGGGAACAAGCCTTGCAAGGGTTATCATTTGAGACATCAATGTGTCTGCTTAATAATGGATGTCCATTAGAGTTAGTAATGATTCTATGCATCATGGTAGATCCTGGATGACCCAGACGATCATGCCAAAACATGTAAACTTTTGAATCAATGAACTTTTGGTTTATGATAGTATATGCCTCAATTGTCTTTATGTATGTATAATACAATCCACTCGATAAACTACGTAACTTCTCCAATATACGCTTCTGGGTATCATTGGAGGTAATGCAGAAATATTCTACATTTTCTGCACTTTTTGTTTCAATGTGGTATCCATTTAGACGTGTGTCTTTAAAGCTCAACAAATTTCGAGTAGACCGAGTGGCGTGCAACGAATTTTGTATAGACAATATTGTTTCAATTGGTAACATAATCTGGGCTTTTCCTAAGCCTTCAATTACATCTGATTGTCTTGATATTGTTGTTACCTTTACTTTTGCAAATACCAAGTTAGAGAAATACTTTCGATCTCGAAGTATTGAATGCATGGTTGCGCTGTCTGCAAGATAAAAGTCTCCATCATTGCTCTTGTTTTATGAATAACCATAATTTTTATCCATGTTCTCTGACTAAAGAAATTACAGTTAAAAAGCAGTTTATTCATACTGGAATACTATGATTGAATTGAAAATGTGAGCATTAAACCACAAGTACAAATAACAAGAGTACATTAAACACAAATGATTCAATCAGACCCATAAACTTCTTTCCCTCTTTCAATAATAAAGTCTGAAACATCCAGGTGGGTTGTGTTTAATTGTCTTGATAAATTGGACATTGGATCAAATATTTCCATTGGTTGAGCTTGGTCGAGGAAATTGGTCTCGACACCCTTCTCTTTAAGGGAGGCTTGATACAGATCGACTAGATGTTTTGGGGTACGACGGGTACACGCCCGATGCCCATTGCCACCACACCTATGGCAAACTCCTTCAGGATTTCTAGGAGTGTTCATATGAGCTTTGTCTTTCTGGTGATTTGCATTCTTAAAGCTCGGGCCTGGATTATACCTTGGAACCTGGTTGTGAAACTGAACACCATGGTTCTTGTCCTTCCCATTCCACCGGCCTCGCTTGTGGCCATTTCCTCGTTTGTAATTATTTCCACAAGAGGATGTGGTATTTCCTTCAAAGGAAGCAACATTCATTTCTGGGAATGGTGATGATCCAGTAGGTCGGGACTGATGATTCTTCATCTGAAGCTTATTGTTTTGCTCGACTACAAGAAGTACAGATATCAGCTGGTTGTAATTGGTAAAGCCTATTTCTCTATACTGCTGCTGTAGGAGCACGTTGGAGGTATGAAAGGTGCTGAAAGTCTTTTCCAGCATATCGCCCTCAGTTATTGTTTCTCCACAGAGCTTCAACTGGGAACTAATTCTGAACATTGCAGAATTGTATTCAGCCACCATCTTGAAATCCTAGATTCTTAGGTGAGCCCACTCATAACGAGCTTTTGGAAGAATCACCGTTTTCTGGTGATTATATCTATTTTTCAGTGCCTTCCAGAAGGTTAATGGATCTTCAACTGTGAGGTACTCGGTCTTCAGTTTCTCATCCAGGTGGCGACGGATAAAGGTCATGGCCTTCTCCCGATCTTGAGAGGATGCACTGTTATCCTTCTTGATGGTTTCCCTAAGATTTCTTGCCTCCAGATGGATCTTGGCATCCATTACCCAAGTAAGGTAGTTTTTTCTAGTAATATCCAGGGCAACAAAATCAAGCTTTGCCAAGTTCGTCATTTTCTTTTTTGAAAGAAAAATGAGGTGTGTAAGTACTTGCAATAATATGTATTCTGAAGGAATATATTGTTAGAACTTCTGGTCCTTACAAATTTTTCATTTTGATCTTTAGGCTAAAATGATAAGCACTCGAAAGTTCAGGCTCGAGATTTACATGATAAATGAGGAAGACGATTGTACCGCACCATTCTCATTTAAATAACATAGGATGACCGATTATTCCGCACCACTCAAGCAGCAGAAAAATTAAATATGTAGAGCAGGGTGTGTGATTATTCCACACCACCAAAAATTGCAATAAAATTAAATAGCAGGCAAATTTAAATAAGCAGGGTAGGGTGGGCGATTATACTACTTCACCTAAAATTTGCATTGAAATTAGATTTGCAGTTCAAGATAGGCGATGATACCGCACCATCTTGGATTGCATAAATAAACACTGGGTTAGTAGTCAAGAGCTACACCAAACAAGAAATCAAAGATATAAGTAACTGTTATGTTAAGAATTAAAAGCAGGCATGGTGCAAACAGTTCTTTGCTAGGGTATATCCAGCAGTTGAGGCAGAGGAAGAAGAAGAATAGTAAAATCCTTAGAGGAGACATTTTTTTTTTCTTTCGGCGAAGGGAAATGAGAAATGGTTAGAGCCGTGCTGATAACGTGTTATAAATAGGCAAAAGTTAGAGAGATAACCTTTGCTAGGGACAGGAGCAAAGCAATTGCAAAATATTATACCAACACAAAATGATTGCAGAGGAAGTGAGGAATATTATTATTATCAGTTGTTTTTCTCTGGTAGTGTCTTGATCACCTATGTGGTGATCTATTTATAGAAGGTTTACAATGAATGAAAACAACTTCCCGTGACATAACATAACAAATTATGCCTTATTCATTACTATTCACATGTGGACATACAATTATTTACAACACAAAGATACAAACAGTTAGCATTTTCTTTCAAGACACTACTAAAAATTAGGGTCACTAGCCATTGGTTTCCATGGTAGAAGCCACATTTACTGTCCATCTGTGCGGTTGGGACCTGGTACAAGTGTTGATATAGCTGCATATGTTGTTGGAAAATAAATAAACACATACCATTTATTTTGCTAGTCTATACTTAGCTGCGGTTTACACCAATAGCATCATGCTTTGTGGCCATAGTTCACTCATTTGTGGCTCACTGTAGCCATTGTCTTTATGGCTGGTTTGGTATCTGTGCTTTGAAAAAAGATTATTGTGAGAATAAGCGGCTATGCTGTGAGAATAAGCGGCTGTGAAATAAATCAGCAGAGTGTTTGGTAAACTTTTTTGTAAAAGTGCTTTTGGAAAAAAAAAAAAAGCAGCTTGAGAGTGGGTCTTTTCCTTAAAGGAACACTGTAGCTCCGTGTGCTTTGAAAAAAAAAAGCCAGTTTTCCAAAGCTGCAAATAGCAGCTTCAGCTTTTTCCTTTAATTTCAACTTATTCTCACAGCAGCTTCCAAAATAAGCCATTTTGTTTTTAGTTTACCAAACACCTAAAACCCTCACAGCTTTTTTTCATGGATGTTTTTTTTTTAAGCACCTCACTCCCAAACCACTCCTTATTCACAAGGGATCGTAGGCATTGAGATGATTAGCTAGATGCATCTGTGGTCTTTGACCCAAATTTTAGAAGCGAGAAGTTTAATAGAAATGGCTTGTCAACTTATTTTTGGAAATTTCGTTATAACTTTCAATAAATTAATAATTACATATGAAACGCTCCTTTCTTTTTTATCTGATCGAAATTTTCAAGAAGATTTTATCGAGACACAAATAAATTCATCATATCTCTCGTTGTACTTAATAATTTTTACACTATTAAAGAATATCAAAATAAAACAAAATTCTTCCACAATTTCTCCCACCTCACTCGATCCTAATTTTTCCTGTCACATGCATATAATTATACTTAATGGAAAAAACCATATTATAAACTATGTAGCATAACAAACCAAATACCATAGGGTTTAGTGCCCTAAACCCTAAAATTATAAACAGATAACAAAATTCATTACCCAGATGAAAATAATGAAATAGATTTATAACAAATCAACGACCACAAATATAAATAAAAAAAACCCTAAGGAAATCCAAAATAAACACATAAATTAAAAGAACTAGTAATAGTTTTGGGTTCAAATCCCACTCTCAACCAAAACAAAAAAGATCTAATAATAGTTGATGCGGTTGTTGTTGGACTTGCTTGAACTCTTGTTAGGGTAAACAGTTTTGGTGACCTTCTGTTCGATCTTAACTTCCGTAGTAAACCCTAGGTCCTTGTCAACATTCTTGTGGGTGTAGGTTTTCTTGGCCTCTTGCTTGTGACCCATCTGCCCCGTCCGCCTGTCCACGTAGTCTTGTTCCTTCAACATCTCCGTATAACTGCTCGAAGATCCATCGTATCGGTTGTTGTACGAGGATCTCACTCGGGTCTGAACTTCATTGGACACGCTCATCTGTCTGTTGTTGGTCGAGGTGCACCTCCCGGCACAGCCACCATGGGCGTTCATCTGTGTGCTGTCGGTCAAAGGCGCCGCCATAGTGTAGCCATTAGGAAACACGTTCTTCGGTGCGCTGTTGGTCGAGGGCGTCACCATGGCGTAGCCAGCACGAGCAGTTTCAGGCTCGTAGACCTCGAGGTAGCCACTAAAGGCAGTTTCAGGCTGGTTGCGGTAGGCCATTATGCGATATCGGGTGCGTTTAGGTTTGAGAGAGGTTGTGTTTTGTGGCTTTTGGAGTCCTATTTATAACACAATAGAGGAGTAAGCTTGAAGAAAGAGAAGTAAATGAAATTAGTAGAATATTCTTATTCTATACTAACTTACTAAAAATTCGTTAATTATATTGACACTTCATTCAAAAAGTTGATTTGGAGATCTTTGTATTTTACTCTACTCTTGAGATTACTAGATTTTGCCTAAATACGCGTGGTAATTCTTTTAATTGGGGCCTAGAATATAGTTGTTTTCTTGTATTTTGCTAGATTTTTTTACCAATAATATTTGTGAAATTTTGATTTTTTGGAGTTATTATTATTGACATTCCTCAAATGTTATTTTTTATTGTTCTGCTCTTTTTATTTTGTATTCGACTTTCAAAATTTTTTCCCTCGGTGGGTTTTAACGTGGGAATATTAATTACTAATAGGGGCTTAGGAAACTTTCTCCTAACAATTAAAATAAGGAAAACTAATGAAAAGGGCTTGAAAACTTTGAATTTTAACCAAAAACCATGTAATAACTTTATTTAATGGTTAGGACAAAGCCCAACATTAAACTAGTCCATTTAAAATGGCCCAATCATTAGTTTCCGGTTTTGCCCCTGACGGCAAGCTTTTTCCGTTTAATTTATTTTCAGATCTCCTTGCTATTCTCTATCTCCCCTATTTCTTTCTGACATTCGAAACCTTCCATTTTTCTTTCTAAGCTCGGATCGCAACTCCATCTCTATCACTATGCAAAATCATAGATCTGATCCGACTCCAAACTTAATTTGATCCATCTCCATCTCTGTCAAAATCGCAGATGATCTCATACATGCAAAACTATGTCACACTCTCTCTCCCAATATTTCTAACACTCTCTCCCTTCTGTAAAGATGAGAAGGGACCTAGACTTTTCACCAACATCGGCAAAAAAGAGCCAAAGGTAAGCAATCACTCTCATTCTCTCTCTCCATCTCTGTGATCTTTCTACTGTTTTGTCGTTCTCTTGATTGCGCATAATTTGCACCTAAAACGATGTGTTTGGGCTTCTGTTGCGATGCTGGCGTGGTACGTTTTTGAAGCTCTAATTTAATTAAAATGTGTACAGCTAATTGAGCAATCAAGAAATATAGTTTCAGATCGTGAAATAGGAGTTCGGATCGGTGTTCTTTGCTAGTGTTGTTTGCGTTTTCTAATGCGATGTAATCATAAAACAAGGAAATCATTTAGCTCATCAAGAAGTCGGTTGATATGTTATTATAAACCGATTTTAAATTATTCTGATGCTTTTGCATTTTTAAGCTTTGATTTCTGAGTTCTTCTAGAATTTTGGTATGTATTTTATTGTGACTTTTACATTCATCTTTCCACTATGTGAGTATATTAGTTGAAGAAAATCTGGATAAGGGAAAGTATCTTTTGTGCTCTTGACTAGTGAAATGGATAAATGATTGTGTGTGATTTCTGAGTTTGTTTTAAGTTTTTAATGTTGTTTCCACTGCTAATGTACTTCCTCAGTTTCAAACTTAAGCATAACTTTTCTATGAATATAGTCCTAGGAATTCGCATTTCAGCAGTACCCCAAAACCTTTAAAGACAAATGATTAAGCCTTTTTATTGATCCATGCATGTCAAATTATGTTTTGTTACGGCTGTGCATTTTCAAACGAATTGCAATTGTATTTACATGTCTCTTCATTCTGTAGAACTGTAATCTGTGTAGAAGTTTCCCAAGTTAGTGTTTTGTGATCGCAGCATCTTTATCGATCATAAAATTTGGTTGAAGTTTATTCATTTCATTCCAATATGATCTCAGTTCTTGTTCAATGGAATATATGTTTCAGAGACGGTATGGGTGTCGTGCAATGATGCTGGAGACTATGGCAGCTGTCCCTAGCATGCTAGGAGGAATACTGCTAACTTAAGGTTTCTGCTCAAGTTTTAGCAGAGCGGTGGTTGTAAAACCTGCGTGGTACGAGAGAATACTGGTTTTGTTGTATACAACTTGAGAAACTACATGCTACCTGTATTGGTTTTCAATTTTATGTGATTGCCCTTACACAATTCATAGTCTAGTGCATGTGATGGAAGTATCTCATGTTCATTTCAAGAACTTTTCAAGACAATAACAATATCTTTTTGTTGGGTAATAAGTGCAGGTGACAAACGTGGAGACAATTTCTCCTCCTTGGGACTTTGTGGACACTCCTTGTGATTATACTTCTTACTGTGGAGGATGTAAAACACAAAATTTGATTTATGAGGCTCAAGTCAAAGCTAAGGAGCAGCAAGTTCATCAGTTGATTATTAACTTTGGAAAGTTTTCTCACACGGAACTGGAATTTCTAAGCATCATGAAGCCCATCAGAAAACATGCTTTTGCCATAATGCTTTCCTCTTGTTTTTTATCACATCAGAAAACAGTTACTTAATTTAGCTAACACAACCTACTTGCTATTTGTCATTTGACACTTTCAAGAATCAAAGTATCAAAGTACTCTATTTTGGTGTAAGGTATACATTTATGCATATTCTTAACTTTACCTGTAAATTCACTGTAAAATAAATTTCTAAGAATCTGTAAATCATTTGTACTTTGTAATTATCATTTTGTTTTTAAAATACTATATCAATGATTATTTCTCAAACTATACTATCACTGTTTCTTAAACTAAACATTGATTATTTCTTAAACGGAACACTAGTACTATCATTGTTAAACGTACTAAATACTTGACTATTTAATCAAATGAACACTTTAACACTGTACTATTCACTGTTTCGTCAACTATAACACTGACTATTTCTTAAACTAACATACTTTCCTTTATTTAAACAAGTAAATAACTAAGTACACTATCATTTTGTTTCGTAAACTTAACTATAAGAACACTACTATTTGTACTATAATTTATTCAAACACTGTATTATCAACTGTTTCCTAAACTATCACTATTTTTATTAATTTTTACAACTGACTATTTCTTAACGGAACAATAGTAAACTATCACTGTTTCGTAAACTAAATATTGACTATTTTCTTCAAACGGAACACTAGTATATCACTGTTTCGTAAACTTAAAACACTGAACTTTTCTTTTAAACGGAACAAACTAATACACTATCAATTGTATTTTCGAATAAATATTAAATATTAAAAGTACACTAGTACTATCCTGTTTCTATTAAATAAAATTGACTATTTCTTTACAAACTGATTTTACACAATAATATTTGTAATAATTTCTAAACAAACTACTATCACTATTTCTTAAACGGAACACTAGTACTATTTCACTGTTCTTAAATTTCAAGACTATTTACTTTTTGGTATTTTTAACAAAATTGACTATTTCGTAAAAACACTAACATTCTTGTTCGTAAAAATACTACTAGTAAATAATTTATCACTAAATATCACTTTATTAAACTACACTATTTATTTAACGGAAACTTGTAAACTATCACTGTTTCGTGTAAACTAAATACTATTGACTATTAAATATTATAACGAAATTTATAAACTAAATATGACTATTTATCATCAGTAGTTCGTAAACTACACTGTTTCTTAAACGAACACTAATATGGGTAACTTCACTGTAAAACGGAACACTAATACTTATTTCGTAACCTGTTTCTGGTAAACTGTTTCAAACTGAACACTAACTATTTCTTAAACGGAACACTTAGTACTATACTGTTTCGTAAATTATCAAACACTGACTATTTCAGTTAAACGGAAAACACACTAGTACTATCACTGTTTCGTGTAACTAAACCACTATTGGAATTATTTTCAAACGATCACTAGTAATCACTGTTTCGTAAAACTAAAAAATGTAACTAACTATTTCTTAAACGGAACGAACTACTGTTTCAAACAAACAATGACTATATTTCTTAAACGGAACACTATTACTATCACGTTTCGTTAAACTAATATTATCATCAAAACTAGTTTAACTGTTTAAACAAACACTAAATTTATTAAACGGAAACATAGTACTATCACTGTTTCGTAAACTAAACATTGATTATTTCTCAAACGTTATCACTGTTTCATACAAAACTAAACACTGACTATTTCTTGAACAAACACTGAACATCTGTTTACTAAACTAAACAACTGAATTTCTATTAAAGAACTACTATCACTTTTCGTAAACTAAACACTGATTATTTCTCAAACGGAACACTATACACACACACACACATGAGTTCAATTTTATAATGAGATAGATCCAAAGCAATTGCATGAGACTTCCAAACATAATTCAGACCAAACATAATCATAAACTAGTTTCCAAAAAAAAAAAAAAAAATAATCATAAACGTTGATGTGAGTCTTGCACTTTAAGTTTCACTGATCCAAGAAATCTTCCCTTAACCTTCATTATTTTGTAGTTATTTGTGTAGAAGTTTGGTGATACACTCGGTGAAATTATGTCATTTTCGAATCTAAAGTTCATTATTTTGTAGTGATTTGTGTAATTTAATTTTTTTTTAAAATTTATTTGATGGGAGGCGAGGCGAGGAATCGGAGATAATTAATTATGTTGGGGTTTAATTGGTATCGACTGGCAAAAGTTTTTTTTTTGTTTTGGACGAATCCTCTAGAAAATGGCATCTTTGTAAATAATGAAAGTTTAATTATTTTGTAACAAAAAAACGTAAGGTAAAATGAAAAAAGTGGGACAATGGATGGAAAATTGATTTATTTCGTGAAGCTTCCTTATTTTTGTTGTTCTTTCTAGTTTTTGTCATTTTTCATTAAAGTTTCAGTCATTTTTATTAAATAAAGTTAGTAAATGGTTTTTTGTTAATAAAAAGTTTGAAAAAAGCCTTTTTCATTAAAGCTCTCTTTTAATTTTCGGTCATCTGATCGGATGAATTGAAGAATATCAACGGACAGAAATTATCAAGGAGTGTGTGAGAAGTAAAATGAGGTGTGTGGATAGCACACCCCTATATATATATATATATATATATATATATATATATATATATATAACATATGTAAATAATAAAAGAAAGTTGGAATTGATTGGGTTTCTCAAGCCTATACAATAGACGCCCTTTCAAGAGGAAGAGGGGACGACGAGAAGAAAAAAAAGAAAAAGAAAAAACCAACAGCAAAAAAATCATAACAGGAAGATAGAAGTATTTGGCTGACAGAATGGCATGTTTGTAAATAAAGGAAATTTTATTTTTAACCGAATTAGCAGACAGCATGAGGTTTCCGTTAGGGGTAGTGCAGGAAAAAATAATATTTCGTTTTGGGCTTTTTATTTCAGCCCATGTGTATTCAATGTTTGTGGGACTTGATATAAATTGTTTTTGTCCTTATGATTAAATATGAAGCCCTTTTGGTTAAATAATAGTATAGGGTGGTTTTTGGTTAAATTAAACTTAACTCAAGCCCTTTTCATTAAAGCTCCCATTAAAATATTGTTAGACCTTAAAAACTACCAAGCCTACGTGGCGCGCAGGCCGAGTAATCTATGAGCTAACTACGTCCTTCGGTTTTGTGCGGGGCTTGCCAACTCGTCGGCCAAGTTCGGCCGAGGAGTAAAATGTGTTGATGTTGCATTGGGTGCGCGGCTGACTTCTGCGTCTTGCTATTGCGACCGAGGAAGGAACACGTCTCGGCCTCTTGGGTTCTCGAACCTGAAGACCACTATTCTTACAAAGTTCACAAATCGTCGGCGCTGGATTCGGTCACTGTGATTATATTCGTAAAAGTATAAGCACGCCGAATCGACACCCAAGTATAGGGGCACAGATACTCAAAATAAATATAAATCTTGATAGTAAACATGGTTTGGCCGTCAGAATGCCGAACTCTAAAACCTACCTGTGAGTATCCAATCATAAGATAACTCGGCGTACAATGTGCCAAGCCCAGTAAATTGTAACACCTCACTTCGCTGAGAAGGCTGATGAAATGACCTCGACCAATAAAGATTCAGAAATCCTTCTCGACCGAGACTTGGATAGGTAACCAGTCGTCCTTGACGCAATGCTGTTTATGCCAACTGAAGATGCTGCGAGATCGGCTGATTCTACAGCGACAGTGTTATTTATGCCAACTGAAGATATCACCGGTTGCCTTCACAGTGTTATTTATCCAAACTGAAAGTGTGTTGGCGAAAAGAGAAAAGAAAAAATCTCAAGGTTGTTGAGAGAATTTGTGCAGGGCAGTTGTGTGTGAATTGGAGGGAGCCTTTCACGTTGCACATCGCCTCTGTATTTATAGAACTGAAGTACTTGCTCTCCACGGTCAGATAATGTTGCAAAAACCGACTGAAACTCAAACTCGTAAAATGACTGATCCACGGCATAGGCGCTAAAGCCTATCTTCATATGGCTGACTTTTCAAAATAATAAAAGCCCATTATGACTTTTCTTATTATGACTAAAAACCTAGGCTAACTAGGCTTTCCTATGTCATCATAACACCACCATAAAAAACCTAGCTTTTCTAGGTCTTGTCACATCATCATCAGCCAAAGTCACCATTTCCTTACCCCATTGTCGCATGCAACCTGACCCTATGAATATTAAATTCATTTTTAATTATCACCATATTTAAATGGATAATAATTTGATCAAAATCCAATCCCCTCAGTAGTTTCCAAGTGACCTCATTTATCTGATGTCGTGCATATCTGTTAATCAAAACTGATCCAAACCACACTTCCACATCAACTTGAATTGTGCTACCTGTTTAGCTTGGAGATATATTATTTTCATAAGAAAATGTCAAGATAAATCATTATTAAAAGATAATGTTATCTTTTAATATTAATAAAATTATCTTCACTTTTCTATATAGAGGTATGCTTACTCAACGACCTCGATTGCTCGAGCCGATAGTGTAATTTTGGGTCCAAACAAATATGCTCAACATCTTCAACGTTATTGTGCTATGTCAAATGAAAAATAGTCATAGAGAAGTGAATAGATGATGGGTATCTATGTCCAGGCAACTTAGGCAAGGCTAGGTTGCACCAAGGATGAAAAGGAGATTCATTTTTTATTCTAATCGGGAGAATGATGGGCAGTGTCGTGAAGTGGCGGAAAAACGTTGGAAGGAACAATTCCATAGATCAAGAAGCAGGTTCCAACTACGTGAGAAGCTAAAAAGGGTTTAGGATAAAAAATTTGTGTTGGAGAAGATGGAATGTTGGAACTCATCGAAGAGGAGAAATTTTAAGATCCGACACCCAGACCAAGTGTACTATAAGGTCAAGGCTTACTCCACTCTTACCCTATTTTGTTCCCACCCTCTCTCTCTCTCATTGTCCTTAGTCTGGTTTCCGGACAGAACGAGAAGAACGTCTCGTCCCCTACACCCTAATTTGAATCTTCCTCGACATTGTTTGCAATATCACCTTCTAAAAAATAATTAAAAAAAAGACGCAAAATAATGCAATTTCTAATTCTGCATGTAGCTATGGACAATGTTCTAAAAAACGCCATAGGCGGTGCCTAGGCGCTAGGCAGGCACCAACCGAGGTGATTTCTGGCAAAACAGATTGAAAAATCAGCCGAGGTCTAGGCACCTAGGCGGTGCTAGGCAGCTGGGCCGTTTTTTTATTTTTTTTTCTATTCTAAGTTTCTACTTCTAAATTGAATTCTAATTCTATCCCGTGACCTAATTTCAGAATCTGCACAGAAGAGACTCTTCTTTGCCGTTCGCCCATTTCGTTTCTTCTTCGTTCTTCCTCATCTGCACTGCAACCTGCACCGCTATACGACTTCGTCTCTTCCTCGGTTCTTCCTCATCTGCACTGCACTCACCTGCTGCACCGCTGCACGACCTCGTGTCTTCTTCTTCTTCCTTATCTGCTGCACTGCACTATGCAATCTGCACTTTGCAGCTACAGTCAACAGTGAAGGCTGCGAAGCCCCCAAAAAGTGAGTTTTTGTTCTACAGATTTCAGATTTGTAAATGTTGAATTTGTTAAGGTATTAGAAAAATTATAGAGTTTTGGATTTGAAACCAATTGTATTGAGGGGAATCTGACAATCTGTTAACTTATTTACCTACTGATAATTGAAAGAAATTCTGATAGTATTATTTTCGTGCTGGTTGTTTGCTAGATCTAGGTGCACATCTTACTATCTTAGATTCTTAGCCTAATTGTGTATCAATTAATAATTATATATAGATGCATGCGAGGACCCAATCTGCATATATTTATAAACAACAACATCGTCTGTCACAATTGTTTGTATAATTGGGCATATACATGAACCTTTTTTTAATATAGCCTTTTGTCGAATGAGCTTTCCAATTTATGATGGCTGCCTTTAGAGTTAGATTGGTTTAGTTAGCTATTCTCAGAGCTATGACAGCAATATGCATCAGTTGAGTGGAATTCTGCATCAGCAATTTGGTTTGGTTAACTGGCAGGTTCTTGAACTGTTTTTCCATTTCATTTAGTTATACTTCTGAGTTCTGATCATCAATTTGAGTTGGCTAACTTGGCTTATAAGTTAATATACTGTGATAATTTTTTGTGGGAGATTAATCCCTAAAAGTTTGTAATGTTTATTTTATATGAATTTTAGGATTGTTTCTTCTCTTGTGTGATGATGACTGGTACTTTATCTTCTGGAGCATCTACTACAATGTCATCCTCCTCCCAATCTGAAAATGTGTTGAAGCGTAGCTCGGAAGATGTGGGATGGGAATATGGGATCTTGGCAAATCCTACAAACTCAGATAAGGTGAAATGTAAGTTGTGTGACAAAATCATTAGTGGTGGAGTACATAGATTAAAACAACATGTAGCCAACATAAGGGGAAATGTAGCGGCATGCACAAAGTCTTCGGATGAAGATAAAGCCAAATGTCGAGCTGCATTAGAAGAAGCAAAAAATAAGAAGAAACAAAGGGATAAGCACATTGTGGAAGTGAAGGAAGAGGTGCAACTTCAACAAATTCAAGAAGAAGAAGACATTGAAGTGATTGGGTCAAGGAAAAGGCCTCGCACTCTTGGACCTATGGATAAGTTTGCATCCTCCATCAATCCCCATTCTTCAAATGAGGAAAGTAAGAAGACTCGGCAACAAAACATCCATGATGCAATTTGGAAAGAAAGAACACATCAAGTGGATCAATATGTGGCTCGATGGGTGTATGAAGCCGGTATTCCTTTCCATGCTATTGATAATGATAGCTTCAAGCGTGTGATGGAAGCGGTTGGTCAATTTGGCCCGGGTTACCTACCTCCAAGCTAATATGAATTAAGGGAGCCATTATTGAAAGAAGAGGTAGAAAGAGTAAAAAAGTCACTCAAGAAACATGAAGAAGAGTGGGCTTTGAATGGTTGCTTAATCATGACCGATGCTTGGAGTGACCAAAAAAGAAGAAACATAATGAATTTATGTGTCAATTGCAAGGAAGGCACCATATTTCTTTCTTCTAAGGAATGCTTTAGTGAAGCACACACCGGGGAATATATCTTCGAATATGTTGACAAGTGTGTTGAAGAAATTGGGCCTCCAAATGTGATTCAAGTGGTAATCGATAATGCTTCTAACAATATGGCAGCGGCAAACATGATGAAAAAAAAGAGGCCGAATATGTTTTGGACATCATGTGCCACTCATACTTTGAATCTCATGCTTCAAGGGATTGGTAATCTCCCTAGGTTCAAAGGAGTTATTGACAAGGCAAAGGCTTTCACTATCTTCATTTATGCACATCATAAAACTTTGGCATTGATGAGGAAGCATATCAAGAAAAGAGACATAATAAGGCCCGGAGTCACTAGATTTGCAACTTCTTTCCTCACATTGCAAAGCTTAATGGATAAGAAAAAAGACTTGAAGGTTATGGTTGCTAGTGAAGAATAGGAACAATGCAAACATGTCAAGACTACAAAGGGGAAAGTGGCATATGCTACTGTATTGAGTTCACATTTTTGGAGTGGGGTCTTACTTTTTATTCAAGGTACTTCGAATTGTGGATGGGGATAAGAAGCCATCAATGGGGTTTTTGTATGGAGAGCTACAAAAAGCAAAGATGGAGATTAAAGAGAGACATTCAAGAACAATGAGGCCAACTATCAACCAATTCTTCAAATTATTGATGAAAAAGCTCGTGAGCGGCTTGATAGTCCATTGCATTTGGCGGGCTACCTCTTGAACCCTTATTATTTCTTAAAAAATCAAAGCATACAACATGATCCAATTGTCATGGAGGGGATCTTTACTTGTGTTGAGAAGTTCTTCCCCGATAACTATGAGGTTCAAAACTAAGTGATAAATGTTGAGATGCATAAGTATAGAGTAAAAGAAGGTGGATTTGGAAAACATTTGGCCGAACTTGGATGCGCTGAAAATGATGAAAACTATAATCCGGGAATGAATATTCACATATGCTTATATTTTATTTATTAAATTTGAGTTTACTACTTATTTTCAGTATTAATTGTGTGTTTTTTTTCTTCATTAGTTGCATGGTGGTATAATTATGGAAATGGTGTGCCTAATTTGCAAAGGATGGCTATAAAGATACTCTCATTGACTACAAGTTCATCCGGTTGTGAAAGAAATTGGAGTTCTTTTGAAGGTATACATACAAAGAAAAGGAATAGACTAGATACAACAAGGTTAAATAATTTAGTCTATGTCCAATTTAATGCGAGTATTATGAACAAGAAGAAAAGAGAGAAGGAGAAGAAGGTGGACATATTGCTTGCAAGTGAAGCTAGTATGGCTCAAGGATGGATTGTGGAGGGTGGTGATGAAGAGCTTGAGCTTGGCTTGGGAATTGGAGAGACATCGGAGGTAGGTAGTTCCCTAGAGCCTAGGGGGAGTTCTATAAATATTGAAGTAAGAGAACTTCATGAAGAAGATTTTATATCGGATGAGGACACGGAAGAAGAAGGAGATGATGAAGAAATTGAGTTCGAGTCCGACACGGAGAGAGTCTTGGAGGGATATGGTGAAGAAGAGTTTGATGCCTAGTAACTTTCGTAGCTCAATTTTCTTTTATGTCAGTGTCTGCATGTGTAGCAATCGAACATTTGACTCGTTGTTAATTCTTTGAAATGTATGCCCATCATTCGTACTCACTGATGTTAATTCTATTATGTGAAATGTTTGTGCAACATTTGTACATTTGACTTAGTAGTGTTGGACTTGAATGTTTCCATAGTTCTAGTCTTCCATACTTACAAGTTACAAGCAATGTCTAATTTTGAGAATGCTCATTCATTGGACATAAAATTGGAAATCACATTTCATTTCAGTGGTTGCAAGCACTGCCTTGTTCTCAAGTATACCATATGATTATTACTTCATTTGTTGAAAGAAATATTTCTTTTGTACATTTTCTACATGTTTTGTAAGTGTCAATATGCACTTATTCACAGGATATACAAAAAATTTACCTAAATCCGCCTAGGCCGCCTAGCCGCCTAGGCGCTAGGCGCTAGCCCACCGCCCGGCTAGCACCTAGCGTTTTTTAGAACCTTGGCTATGGAAGAGAAGCAAGCTTTCCTAGACAACTTTCAAATCTTTGAGCCATGTCGTATGTAGCGGACAGGGATCAGGCTTTCCTTCGGCAATTGCCTTTTCAGATAGAGAATAAAACCAACCGTTTCTCCATTTAAACTGCGAGCAAAAGGCAATCGTCACAGTGAATACAAATTAAACTCATCGAGTCATACGCATATATGATATATATATATATATATATATGCTTGCAAACCATATATCTATGCTTTGCATGCATCTCTAACCTCTTTAACTGCGGTAGGAAAGTGTGCAACCGTGCGTGAGTATGCACATAATCTGTGCTCCATGGCTTCTTCAAATACCAACCCCTTCTCTGCAGCTGCTGCAGAGGCAAGCTCTGCAATGAGACTAGACACCTGAAAGGATAGATATTGGTCAAGTTTTTACCGGTTCCCTTTCTCAACACATAATATGATGAGCCAACCTTTCCTCCCTAACTCCAAACTTTTTGTATGGACTCCATACCGTGCTAATCTAAAATTGGTTTCACATCATGAAATTTCTTTGTCAATGAAATGAGAGATGTCCATTATTATGCAAGCATTTGGCCATGATATTTAGCATGGCGAACCCAACTCAGAGAGCTGGATGTAAGCCAAGAAAAACCAGATAGCACCACACACCCCAGATAGAATTTACTTTTAATCACCCAAGTTGGTTCATTCTCTTTAAAATAAATGCACTTCAACACCAACCTAACTTTATATTTCCCAATAATACTACTAGGTCTCGCCCATAACTAGTAACCTTCAGCATTCTGTAACAAAACCATGTTAATGGAACAAAACCTCTGAGGTTTGTTAAACAAGTCACGAAAACAATGACATAAATGAGATATTAGCATGTCGGTTTCTACTGTTAAAACCTCTGTGTTGTTTTTACTAGAAAGTCATATGCTTCCCAGAAAAAAGACATAAATAAATAAAAACTACGAAGTCATGGATCATGATGAAGGAAAAATACATGCAAAAGTAAGTAACCTTAGAATTGCTAAACCCTAAACTCAACCTAATCATGAAGTAGAAATTGTTTTGGATAAAGATCCTACTCCACCATCAACATGGCAGAGGCAGAATTACATTTATTTTCTCTTCTTTCAACTCTAAAAGAAATGTTAAACGTAAAGAAAGATTACCTCAGAGCGGTATTCTTTCTCTACACCACCTACAGTTGTTCCTGGATGACGAGCTCCAACAAGCATGAATGCTGAAATCCAGATCAACTTCTCTAACATCTGCTTCTGAAAATTTTCCTTGTTGAGAACCTGCTTTATGTTTTCATTCATTAGTAAAAGAGTAACGCAACAGAAAAACCAATTCCAAATTAGTGCAAAATGCTTTGGAGATATTTTATTTTTACCTTGCAAGTGAGGCCTCCAGCATGTAATCTATCAGCTACCGTCGATGCCCACTTCCCATATGATGCAGTCAGTCCTTCAGGATTGGTATCAGTCTTTCCATCAACAGGAGGTTCTCCAAGCTTGGAGACAGCAAAATATGCTAGGACTTGGTCAGCATCACCAAGACCTTTACTTCCAAACCATGGTTCCAGCATTCCATTCTGGAAAAAAAACCAAATCTGCTAGATTGTCAGGTCCATTGGGTCAAGCAAAACCAAGAAGCAAAAATCCAAATTAAAATTTTCAAATGAAAAGTAAAGAAAAAAGTCCAGTTAAAGCCATTCACGAAAAACTGTATTCTGATATTTTCCTCATTTTCGCCAATTTTGGCAAGCAACAAAGCTTGAAAATAAGGAGAGGAGGAGCAGGTTATATAGGCTTGATTCACTTGTAACATGTAATTTAACTGAATGTGAATGGTTAGAAAATTATTGTCTTAGTGAGGTGAAATTGCTTTGAAAAAATGAACAAAATTTACAAACTCAATTGCCTATACCATTAAAACTAGTTTTTGTCCATATAACGCATCACAATGGATTTGTCTACTTAATTTCCAACACCATTGTTCTCTACTCCCTTTCTCTAGAAGCAAAACACAAAATCCCGCGCTTTCCGATGCTTATTCAAATTCAAACATCTTTGACCCCACCAGAGAGAGCCCCACCCCTACAATGTGTGGGACCAAAACCACATATGACCCCACCATTATGCTGACGTAGCAGAACAGAGGTGGATCTTGTATGAATAAATTTTGAGACATCTGTTACTGTACACACTAACATAGTAACTCACCTACTACTATCCAGGAAAAAAAAAAAAAAAACCAGCTTTTTGTACTTGTTCATTCAAGTGAAGATTCAAATTCTCTCCATAAACATCAATCTCTCTCTCTCTCTCTCTCTCTCTCTCTCTCTCTCTGAACAATGATGGCTGGTTGCAAGAAAACCACATCAATTCTACAGCAATCCTCATACAGCTCTCTCTATGTCGATCCCCTCACATACCAGAAACACAGCCGCAGCCACAGCCAAGGCATCGCCTTCATCTCCAAGATGGACAATTCGGAGCCGAACCCATCAGCCTTAAACGTCAACAAAGAGAACGCAATGCCCAAGAAGCCACAGAAGGCCGTGCCCGACAGCGACAAGGAGAATTTGGTCGCACATGAACATGGGTCTTCCTCTTTTGCGATGCAGCCATTGAAGCAGAGGAACTTGAAGTCTCTGTCCACTGGCTGCAGGGCCCTGAAGCCCTCATCGCTTCAGTTCTGTATGCAGGCGAACGAGCAGGAGAAGGCACTCTTCGGTGGGTCCACAATGCAGGACCCGCCCAGTAATGGGTCCGACAACTCGAGCTCTTTGAACATCTGGGACTACTCCGACTCTGAGGCTGCCCCTGCCTCCTCTTGGTCTACACTGCCTAACAAGTGAGTTCTCTGCCCAATGTGCTTATGCTAACCAAGGGACTTGTAGATCAATTTATTAAGAGCATTCTGCCTTGCATCCGAGGTCCCTGATTCGAAACACCCCTCCTCCAGTCTCGCTTGTATAAAAAGGAAATTGCTTTTGCTAAAAATATGAGATTTTTGTTTCTTTTAAAAAGATATTTACTAAACTTGTAATTTATTTGGTGGGTATTTTTAGGTCATTGCTTTGCAGGCCATTGCCAATGGATGTGGGAAGATGCACATGTGTGATAGTGAAGGAAGCAACCCCGGAAGCAATAGATGGGGGTACTCTCTATTCTCTTTATACCAATGTAAGAAAGATGCCTCTACCTTGAAGTTTGAATAGCTTATGTCATGTTCGATTTAGCCGATACCATACTTGTGTGGTACAACTCTTCTGCTGGGGTAATGCCAGTCAGTCATTCCTGTATTTATAGAGTATAAGATATGTTAGAATACTGTTATATCCCGAGATTCCCAACATTGCGAAACAAATTTACCTGAGTTTCTTTTTGACATATGAATCAAATTTGCGTTGTTAGTTCGATTCCAAGTTCTAAAATAATCTTCACGGCGTCATCCATTACCTGCGAGCCCTGCTCTATTGCTGTTTCTGTAGCAGTGATTTAAAGCTTCATGTTTGTTGTTATAAGTTGAAAAGTACTGATCAACATTAATATTTTAGAGGTACAATGTGTTAACCTCCCTTTGGTTTGGTATTGATATGTTGCAGGAAGGCAAGGGAAGGCAGGACCGGAAACTAGCTATTGCTCACCATAAGCGGCGGAATGGGAAATCTGAGTTGACAATTGCTCAGAATGTGAAGGGAATACTGTCTCATTCGGATGATAGTTTTATTGGTATTGTAAATGCTAACCTCATGGGTTCAAAATACCACATATGGGATCAGGTTAGAAATATATTACTCGTAGAAATCGTAATCAGATTTCCTTGGACATTTTATGTCATTTGGTTGCTAATACAGTTTTTATTGCAGGGTGGTCGTCCCAATTCCTTGAGCAAAGAGGCTAAATCACTTGCCGTTGTAGCGTAAGCCTCCCTCTCTCTCTCTCTCTCACACGTGCCCGCAATCTTTCTTCAATTTGTAATGGTTGCTGTTTGTCTTTACAGGTTCACGCCAACAATCTCGAGCTGGACAGGAAGTTACAGACGTATAAGGGCATATATACCCAAGCACCAATCCATGCAGTTAAAGAACACAACGCAGGTGATCTTAACAGTTTCTAAGATATCTTAGGTTAATTCGTACTTACATTGATAATGTGTATAGATCAGGTTCTTCTAGTGACTATCTTATTTTTCTGAGTGTCTAGTATGCGTGAATTGCATTCTGAAATCCAGTTTTTCGGTCAACTTCTTAACTTCTGCGGTACATTTTCTCTCTTGCAGGTACAACACATTGAGGGACTCCCAAAGGACTGGGAAGGGAAGCTTGACAAAGTTCATCAGCTATCCTCAAGGGTTCCCCATTACAATAAAGTAGGCCTATTACCTCACTGTAGGAATTTTTCTTGTTTTTGTTGTTTCGATCTCCATTAACTGATTTCTGTTATCATTCAGATTTCAAAGCAGTATGAGCTAGATTTCAGAGACAGGGGAAGAGCGGGTCTTAGAATCCAAAGTTCAGTCAAGAATTTCCAACTGACACTGGAGGTAATTACTAATTGCCGTGGACGATCATGACTCAGAAATCTTACTCAGCTCATCTGAAACACGCATGTGTTTATGTTCTGTTATGTCCGTAGAAACAATATGATCATCGATTAAGGCTCTCGAATTTTTCCTTTGTTTATGATAATGAGAGTACCAGTGTTTAATCAATGTGTTAATTACTAAGGGATGCTAACTTTTATATATGCGTTTTTAGGAGAACGGAAAGCAGGCAATTCTGCAGCTCGGAAGGGTTGGAAAATCAAAGTATGTGATGGATTACAGGTATTATAAGCAGCAACTCAGTAATTATGTGTGTTCTATATATCAAAGGAAGTAAGGTGATCCATATATATTGAAGTAATATGTATGAAATATATGTATATTCTTCTGCATTGATCATATATTCTTGTGTTTTTGTTTTTTGGCAGATATCCTTTGACAGGCTACCAAGCGTTTTGCATATGCTTGGCTTCTATTGATTCAAAGCTTTGTTGCACTGTCTAGAGCAAAATTATCTGCCACTGCGTTTTGTAGTTCAACCTCTGAAAAGAACACAAGCTTTTGAGTTTTAATAGGTACACATGAGTAACCGAAGGCAGTTGATCAAAGGGACTGAATTTGTTGTGCAATCTTGATAAGATGTTAGTGTGCAAGTGCAAATTAAGTGCGGTTTTTATCACACATACTCCTTGAAATTGATCTAACTCATCAGTTTGGTCTCTCAATTTGAAAATCGAGCAATGTCCTTGAAATTTGGTGCCGCGCGTCAATTTGGTTCTTGCTGTTCAAATCTGTCAAATTTTTTATTAATTTGTTAATGTGGCACACAGGAGGCCCGCACAACCAATGGTTCGGTGCCACATAGTGATATCCAAGGAAATTCAATTATTTGAAATTAAAAAAATTAAAACTAATTAGAAAAAAAAAAAAAAAAAAAAAAAAAAACAATGAATTGGTTATTGCTTAAGGTATGTATGTTCTCTCTTTCGATTTCGTGGTGTTTTATGTTTCATCCCATCATTGTTCGAAGCCCTAATCGCATTGAGGGCTTTCTGCTAAAATGGCAATTCACATCCGCGACGACTTGTGCGATGTGAACTTTAGGGGTTAGGTTTGCAAATTTATCCAAATCAAAGTGTATTTATTTTTAGGTCCGAGTACCTCCAAGTTGTTCAAGTGGATGAACAAGGGCTCAGAGTACCTCCAATTTGTTCAAGTGGATGTTTATTTTTAGGTTTGTTTTGTTGGTTTTTATAGGAGATACGAAAGCTCATGATGCGGTTTACGGACCTAAAGGAAGAATGAAGAAGAAGAATGAAAACCCTAAAAAGGGTTGCATTGACGTTATTTGGAAGCCGAAAACAGGCCAGAGTGGTGAGTTTTTAACTGGACTTGCATTGTTGTCCGGTACTGAATACTGTTTTTTGTAGAGTGTGTGGCGGATTCTAAGCTCAAGCTACTTAAACCAAAGACTGAGGGAATGGTAGAAATGTGCAGTCATGAGTGCAGAGCTTAAGTAATTATGCACAAAACAGAAAATCAAGAGGTGTGATATCCACATACCCCTTTTTACTTCTTACACCCTTTGTTAATTTCTGTCATTTGATATTCTTCAATTCATTTGATCTGATGGCCGAAAATTAAAAAAGTGTGTGAGAAGTAAAAATAGATGTATAAATAGCACACCCCAAAATCAACGATGAAGCTCATGAAATGGCAATTTTTTATTTATTTAAAGTTTTTGTTTTTGTTAAAAGTAAATAAAAATAACATGTTCTTATGCGACACGAACACACATGAAATTGGATACGTTTTGAAATTCTACTAACCTTTGCAGTGATGCTTCAATCCTCTTTTTGTCTGAGCTTGTTGTATCTAGGGTTTGTTTATTAATCCGTAATCAGATTAAGATGAATTGAATTGAGGAGAAATTAGAATGAGGTGAAATCAGAATCAAATTCCTGTTAAAGACGTTTACTAAAAATTGGCTGGAATCGGAGTATGAATGATATTGATTTATATAAACTGTTTACTAATTCACATGAATCGGAATGAAAATTAATGTGATTACTAAAATACCCTTATTGTAACTAATTATTTTTAGTAAAACTAATATTCTTACATTTTTAGTAGAGAGAATAACTATTTTTTTTTATTTTCTAGTAACTTTTATTCTTTCATTGGTCCTTACCAGTTACCAACATAAAATAAACCTCAAGAAAAAAAAATATCACTTCATGTCCTCTCTCTCCCCTATCTTTCCCATCTCTCTGTTGACCCACCCCTTTCTAAAATTCTCCAGGCATCTCTCTCGTCCCCATCTTTCTCTGCTGTCAACCCACCCCTAATCGCGAGACCACCAACTTCCCTTTTCTTTGGTCTTTGTCAGGAACGCGATCCTTGTCAAGCAAGGGCTTGAAGGCATCACCTATGGCCAGCTATCACGATTGCAAGGGCTGCAAACACTGACACCGTTCTCACTTTTGGAGTTCGAGGGTATTACCGGTATAAAATTTGGATTCCTGATAGATACCATTTCTAGGAATTCAAATACCTTATTCCACTCAAGAATCGGACTCCGGCCATTTCAGGAGTTGAATTCTTGATTTTATGTGGGTCCTACAATTATTTTGATTCTTGATGGTTTGGTAAATGCTGGAATTGTTTGGGATATGTGCAATTCCAATTCCCACCATTCCATTCCCTTTCGTAGACATGCCCCTAGGTTTGATGCGTCCCAAGGTTCTACAATCTAAATGTTTTTTTTAGTTACTGTGTTTATACTTAAAATCTATTTAGATTACTGTGTTTTTAATTTAGTCGATTTGGTCGCTGTGTTTAAAATCTAAATGTTTTTTTTCCTTACCACAATGTGGGTGCAATTACATAATGTACCCCCGTTGAACATGACAGATGCTGTGGCATCTGCCATTGGTGGGTTGATTGGTTCGGTTCTTAAGGTGGATACGGATGATGGGCGTGACGGAAGATTTCTTCATGTGAAGATTTCCTTTGACGTTCGTGAACCTCTTATGTGGGGAGCGAACGTGGAGTTCCCGGTTGATGGGGAGATGTGGGTTGATTTTCGCTATGATGGGCTGCCTAATTATTGTCTTATTTGTGGTAAAATGGGACATGTTACTAGGGGTGGGTTCAAAAAACCGAAAACCGAAAAAAACCGAACCGAATACCGAACCGAGACCGAAAAAAACCGAACCGAAAAAAAAACCGAACCGAAAGTGCAAAACCGGACCGAACCGAAACTGGTTCAGTTCAGTTCGGTTTCTGGGGTCCGAAAACCGGACCGAACCGGACCGAACCGAAGTATGGAAAAACGACGTCGTTTTTCTCTTGCCTTGAACGGTGTCGTTCGTTCGTCTGCGCCTGCCTTCCTTCCTTTCCTTCAATTCAATCCTTCTTCACTCTGTCTGAACTCTGAAACCCTAGAACCGAAAACCCATTCCTTTCCTATTCCCTTTCTCTTGAACGGTGTCATTCCAAATCTCTCTCACCATCTCAGCGACTTGTCTCTCACTTGCCATCGTCGTCTCAGCTCAGCGATCTTTCTCTTATCCCTCTCACTCGCCGTCGCCGTCTCACTTTCAATCTGAATCTGTCACCCTTGCCTGCGACCCACGACTTCCTCTCGCCGTTTCAAGGCTCAAGTCTCGACCCACAAATTCCCTCATTTGCAAGGTTAGTCTCTCACCCCATGATGCGTTTTGCAGATGTTTTTTTTTCAATTTCGTTGGTTCCATCGTAATGGTCTTTAACTCGTAATGGACTTAAATGGTTTGTTTGTAGGGATTGTTGAATTGATTGCGATCATTTGTCTATATCGTAAATGGTTTGTGATTTATTTCTTTAATTTTTGTTGTCTATATCGTAATGGTCTTTAATTCGTTCCTTCTCCAGTGACTTAGATGTGTACACTGTACGAGATGGGTTCTGCAGATGCTTAGATGTGTACATTGCAGCTTGTTCTTTTCTATCTTGAGCTTCTGCATTCCTGCTTGGCTAAAAGTTGCCCATGATATTAACCTCACATTTTAAAAATTCATGCCATTATTTGATTTCTATGCTGAAGCTTGGTTTATTTGTAGTTTGAGGTTCTTTGTATGAGCTTACGATGGTGGGTTTGATTGATGGTGGTGGTGTGGGTGAAGAGGGTGGAGGGGATGGGATTGGAGTGATGGCATTGGCAGCCATTGAATTAGGGGAATTCGTGAGGCTTCATAGTGGGGTAGAAATGTAATAGATAGTAATTGATGAGGTAGTGGGGGGACTTTTTTTGCAACATTAGAAATGTAATAAATACTTGTCTTGTGCGTAATACTTGAGTTTTTGCAACATTAGAATGATATATGTATAGAGAAGTTAAAGAAAAGAAGAGATTAAATTGTTTGGATGTTGTGCTGATTGTAAAGTACCTTAGATTCTCGATAGGACAAAAACTAACGCGAAAGTAGTGTGTGTTGGTTGCATGTCATTGGTATGGTAGGTACAGCTGCTGTAGTTATCAATAATAGCACGCACCTCAGGGTCAGCCTCACTTAATCCGTTGTCTACAAAACTCCTGCTATTAACCAATGATTCCTTTCATACTACATCAGAAGTTGGGAAAATACAGCCGGAACATATGGTTCTATTAAAGATGTTTATTCATAAGGATGGTTTCGTCATAGAATTGAGTAATGAAATTCTGTAGTTATGCTAATTTGTTTTCTTTTTCTTCTTAATCAATGAGGTATCTAGATGGCTGATAACTACATTTGTGCATATAGTTTGTGTTTTGTATCTTACCTTTGCTTCTTAGTCAATGATGTATCCGTAAGGACAGTAACTTTTCCAAAGCAATCCGTATCTTACCTTTGCTTATTAATTAGATGAAGTCAAGTGCATCAAAGGCCTCGAGCTCAAGCTCAAACTCAATGAGATCATCAAATAGCTCCCGTGAAAAAATGAACTCTTCATCTACGTCTACTCCATCGCAAGTAAGTTACCATATACAGATTTTTTATCCAATATATAACAATTCATGCATGCTATAAATCACAGTGGGGGTATTAATCAAAATCAGTAGCTTTGTAATGATTCTTTCTTTTATTTTTGAAGGGCATTGTTGGTGAATCAACTTTACCTCAACTCCCCATGGTGGCAACTCAACACACTTCTCTTACTCATAGTGATCAAGTAAGTAACGAAGATACTCTCTTGGATTCACTAAAAAGTCATGAAAGGTCTACAATTTGGGAGCACTTTGATAGGACAATTGAGGGAGGTAGAGTTAAAGGGGTGTGCAAGTATTGCAACAAATCGTATATGGCCGACACGGATAAAAATGGTACAACTAGTATAAGAAATCACTTAGCTAGATGTAGGAGCTACGGTCCTAATAAAGAATTATTTGTTGCAACTAGGCAAAAGATCTTAACCTTTGCCGGCACAAAAGATAAGTTGGAAGCTATAGGTTTTTCTCAAGTGGAAGTTACTAAGGCTTGCGTTGAGATGATAATTATAGACGAGTTACCTTTTTCTTTCGTCGAGGGAGAGGGTTTTCGTCATTTTTGCATGCATGCATGTCCTTTATGGAGAGTACCTAGTCGTAAGACAATAGCTAAAGATGTACTTTGCTTGTTTTACTCAGAAAAGGAGAAATTGAAAAGTCAGTTGAAGACATTTAGGGTGTGTCTGACAACGGATACATGGACTTCTATTCAACAAACAAATTAC